ATAGTAAATATAATGACATGACTCTCAAAGAATTATCTTCAAGATTCACTATCAACGTGTTTTCAAACATTTGTGGAACAGATAATTCCATGCTATGAGATCTGTTTGAGAAAAAAGAAAAATATAGAAATTTGCCTATTTTATGAAGGTCATCTACCCAAATATTTTCCAGATATATTTGCAATTTAAAAGTAGTAAGAAATAAACCAAAAAAAAAAAAATGAACTGAGTATTTTACAAGCTCTGCTTAGGAAAACACAAAGCATAAGAAATAATAAAACAATAAAAAGATTGCAAAGAAAATTGTAATATATTTGTACTGCAAATTAGACCTACAAATTATAAACATCATTAAAAGTTAAAGGAAGAAAAAAGGTGAAAGAGCTAAAAACAAACTAGATAAAATATTTAGAACCAAGTAAAAAGGGTTAATGTATAAGTAGAAAGAGCTCCTATAAGTCATTATGAAAAATATTAACATCCCCAGTGGAAAAATGGGCACAAGACATTGATTTATTTACAGAGTAAGAAGTGCAAATGGAAAATAAGCTTATAGATGATCACCTTGGAAATAAAAAATACAAATAAAAAATAACAAGGATAAAAAAATATTTAACAATATGAAATCGTGCTAATTTAATTATTCTCAAACGTCAATGGCAACAGTAAAGAATCAACAATTCAAAAAATAATTTGGTACTATGTAAAAGGAAAGTAAAAGAGTTTATATCATTGGCCCAGTAAACCCACTTATGAAATAGCCTAAGAAAATAATCAGAACTGAAAAAGAAAAATGTATGTACATGGCAAAAAATAAAATTAGACAATAAGAAAATGGTTAATAAGTAATGACACATTTATATATGGAATATTAACAGATCTTAAAACCCATTTTTCAAAGAATAACCTTGGCAAACTGCTAGCTAATCTAACTACAGGATGAAATATTACAGAATTGGAATGGGAATATTGTAAATGTCACTTTAATCTTCCCCCACTGAGGTAGTTCATTAACAAGAACACCTACATATTATATTAAAACTGTAAAAAAAAGCCTAGTGACTGGTTGAATGAGAACAAGAAGCTCATTCTGCAACAAAGCGGACACTTAACCACCCCTCAGTGACTTGGACTTCCAAGGTCTCATCTGTAAAAATCTAACGTTGCTGCAATCTGGTAGAGCTTCCAGAGCCAAATGAGATAGGACTAGAGCATCACCTCCAGATATGTGGTCTTCACTGCCTGGCTGACTACACCCACTGAGAGCTTGCTTAGCATCTCACCAGCCATTCTTGTGACCTGCTTTTCTTTTTAATGTTTTTATTTTGTGTAGAAGAACTGGGTATAGGCAGAGGTGCAGGAGGCAAAAGGATCACCAGAGACAGAGTGGGGAGCAGAACAGGCAGATTGACTGAAATACACTGTGAAGGGGAGAAGCAGGCAAGACAGGAGAGGTCTGCTGCGTCCTGTGGGTTAGCTCCCTGCCTGGGGATCAAACTCAGGCCTTGGAGGTAATAGCTCGAGACTTAACCCCCTAGGCCACCAGGAAGGCCCTTATGATCTGGTTTAAAAAGAAACAGTGACTTTTAAAATGCTGATATTGGGTCATATAGCCTGAGGTGAACATCTGTTTGCTTTTCTCATAGAGTCAAATTTTAGGAAATTATTTATTGGTTGTTCATAATCATTTTCTCAGATTGGTCTTTTAAAAACACAGCATCTAAGACCATAATTTGACTTTTAAACACTTAGTTTTCTTGTCCTCTCCTCATACTTTCCTATCCAGGTGAGGTGGAATATATCAGCATTTTAAAAAGCCCCAGTATTTTTCAGATTTAGCCCAATATACTCTTAAAAAGTGATGAGATGTAATTTGAAAGCCTGAAATCCCACCCCTGAGCTTCCCATTTCTCCCAGGCAAGCATGTGACCTTGTGGTGAGACCTGCACGCTATGTATGCTCAGGCCTCCCCCCAACCCACCTTGGATGGTCCCACATACACATGAGGATAACTGGGACTAAAGTTGAGACCTAATTTCATGAACTAGAACAAAACTGATCAGCCATTGACAACTCTAGTCCATGACCTCAACCCAAAGGAGATAGCAGATACGTAGTGGTCATGGCCAGGAGACAAATGATTTGTCTATGTGCACCCATGTGGCTCTCGCCCCACAGGCAGCTGATTTATTCTCCCGTTTCTTCTGTGACATGAAGAGACAGGAGGGGCAGGACAAGGCTGCACCTTACCTAAAAAATGTAAAGCTCTAGTGCCTCCCTGGTGGCGCAGGCAGTTGAGCACAGTGCTATGAAGCTGTCCGCAGCCTCTGCAGTGCTGGTTTGATCCCCGCCAGCCATGGAGCAACCCACATGGCAAGCAGACCTCTCCTGTCTCACCCGCTGCTCCCCTCAGTAGTGTATTTTGTCAGTCTGCCTGTTCTGCTCCCCGCTCTGTCTCTGGTGAATCCTTTCACCCTCCTGTGCATCTGGCCTGTACCCCTGCTCTTGTATTAAAAAAAAAAAAAAAGTGTAAAGCTCTGTTTTCAAAGTTCTGGATATTAATGCTACCCAAATCAGAGAGTAGCAAAAAGAGAGTTTTAACCATTACCTATGTAAAGGTATGGGTATAAGTTGTCCTAGGGCATCTTCGTTGAGTTGGTAGAAAAGAAAGAGCTAAAGAAACCAGGGAGCAAACCTGAATGGGAGTTGGGGCTGCCAGCTGCCTGTGTGTCCGGCCCACTGAACATTAAGGCATCCTCCAACTGTTCAGGACCCTCAGCGCAAGAGAAGCACTACCCATACGACTGTTCACTGCAGGTAATCTCAAGAGAACCCAGGTAGATCACAGATTACGGCAAGTGGCCAGCCCAGGCAACCATGAGAAATGAAAACATCTCCAGGGGCTCAGAGAATGAGACAGTGGGAGGCAGAGAGGAGCACCGTAGAGTTGAGTTGCCCACTGCCGGCTCAGAATCATCTCTGTAAGTGGCCAGCCTGGCTCAGGGTTAGATGAGGTGAAAAGCAGAACAGCAGCTTTCAGAAGGGCGATTGCAACCAGGACTAGGGTGAGTCCAGCTTTTACCATAGGGCAATGAATATTCCTGTTAAGATATCCTGTAGGTCACTACATTGCTTGAAGTTCAAACTGTCAAGTGTAAATGGAAATTTACAAAAACTAAAGAATTGATTTTTTAAAAAAGAAATTACTATAGCAGAAGTGCATTTCTATTCTAGGACTGTGATACTTATGCAAATTATGCTCCTCATGTATACTTAAGTAAAATCGTGTAATTATCACTGAAATGAGGATAATACTGAAATTTAATTTTCTAGTTTTAAATCTATCTTCTTTCTTTTGAAGGCAAAATGTTGAAATGTTTGTCCATTCATTATTTTTTCGGTGTGCATTCCTGGTAAACTAAAACACTTAATGAAATTAGTATCCAAACTATAATACAAGTATTTTACCTTCTGGCTATTTAATATAGCAATAACCTTTGCAAGCTACTATTTATCATGCACATCACACAAACCTAATTTTGCTACTGCCAACATTGATATGCTTTTGATAATTTGTGACTATAAATATTTATGTCACTTTTATAAGTAAAGGGTTAGAATGACGTTAGCAAACGGTGCTTATACACCAAAGGAACAAAAAATTAGAGGACAAAATAAATTTATGCCTTTCTGAAGTATTTGTGTGCTGGTAAGCTCATAGGAAGTTGGCTCTTCAAAAATACAAAATTGTCAGAGGAAATTTAATGTGAGCAATCAGTCCCTATTGAATATATTCATCAATAATTCTCATTTACTGACTGCCCACTTAGCATGGCAATATCTTAAGAAAACATCCTCTTAGAATGTGCTTCAGATTATCCTGGTGAAGATAAAAAAGTTGATAAACTAATAATAAAGCTGATTCTCAAGATACAAGAATTAATCAGAAATTCTGAAAGTTCAACACATTTTGACATTTTTTAATCTCTATATCCTCATGTGTACTTACATTTTACATAAATATGACAATACCATTCATTCCAGGATTCATTTTAATGCAGCATATTTGTTTTGTTTTGTTTTCTCTTTTTTTCCTGTTTCCTTCCTTCTATTCCCCTTCCACAAAGTACATTCCTCTCCACGAAAGCCTTATTACAAAACACATACTCTTTCATGGTTTACACATATACTTCTGTGTTCTTATACAAGCATACACATATAGAGATTCTTGTCATTGTTTTATATAAATAGTATACCAAAATAAATACTTAATACATCTTGCTTTTCTCCCTCAATATCATAGCAGGAATCCCTGATATCAACTGGTATAGCTAATGGCTATATAATATTCCATTTGTGTACCACAATAATTTATATAATCTTTTCCCTCTTATTTGATATTCACTTAGTTTGGACTTTTTAAAAATGTCCTTGTATACTAGGATTTTAAGTTCTGGGGATAAATCCCCAGGGGTAGGGTTATCGAGTTAAAAGGTATTTTTTGGCTTCGATAGACTGATTTCCTAAAAGACCCTAACAATTAATATCACCTTCAGCAATTACTATGAATACACCTTTGCTGACATTTTGTCTAGCAATTATCCTTCATTTTAATATTTGCTAATGTCTCTGAAGTAAACTATTGTTTTAATTTCTATTTCCTTTTCTGCCAACAAGTTCAGGTGCCTTCCTGTTCTTGTTTATGAAGTTCTGGATTTTCTTTCAAGAGTTTTGTTGCTTCTTTTTTTTTAACTTTTATCTTTTATCATCAGGAATTTATTTTTATTTCTAGTGAAAATAGCTCTCAAGGGCCTAGACCACTAGCCAGCCAAAAGGAAGCACTTGGTGCTGATTATAAGGCTGGTTGGGGGAACGTGGGTGTTTCCTCTATATCCCAGCACCAATGTATGCATATAATGTCTTATTCATCCTGAAAGGAAAACGGTGCTTGATAGTGGTTTTTGTCATTGAATACTTGTTTTTCATCGTCTTTCTTGTAGCTATCTCTAAAGAAGAGCCAAAAATACTGAGACACCCAAGACGGCCTCGGAAACCCAAAACATTAAATAACCCTGAAGATTCCATGTACTACTACCTACTACATGTAAGTGGTTTGCTGTCATCATCTGTTAGAAGCCATAGCATCACCAATGGCCAGTGTGAAAGCTTACCACATGAGGTTGTTGAATGGGAGGCCTCAACTAAAAGGAGATACCCCTTGGTTTCTGCTTCCTTGTCCTGCCTTTGGCTGAGTGGGCACTGGGCTCTCTTGGGGCCCCTCTTCTTGATGATCCAGGCCTCTCCTACAGCCCTGTAACCACCTTGTCTTCCCAGCAGTGCCCTCTGCTGTTCCACTGACCAACCCAGAAAGGAGCCCTGCAGAGACCTTAATGACTATTCTAGCATACGCAAGAGTAAAATAAACCTGGATGGTATTTCCTCTCCTAAGAATCCCTGTGACTGAGATGCAACTTATATACACCATCTCCCAGAGGGAAAACTCATGCAGAATAAAAAGGGATCTTGCCAGCTTGAGAATTCAAGGGCAGAATGTTATTTGATTCTTAGTTGTATGAAAAGGGGTCTCTGTCAGTCAGCATAATGCCATCATGTAAGCATAACTTTGGATTATAGAAAATTATTGCCTAGAACAAGAAAGGCTTTTTTTTCAGATGATGGATTTAGGAGGCAGGACCTCTGTCATATTAAAATGACCACAACAAATGCCACCCTGGTCCCAGGGATCATTAACTGGACTGCTAGGGGCCTTTGTACTTATGTTGGTAATATAATTATTTCTAAGTACCTTCTAGCCTAGGGCATTGGATCAAGAATGTGAAGTAACAGGAAACAGCAAGGAGGACAGGAATGTAATTGGTGTCCTGCCCCTTACATCGTTATTTCCTGAATAGTCCACTCCCATTCTTGAGGCATTTAAGCATCCATTCCTACTTCATCCTCCCCCTAAAATACTACCAATTAAAATAAAAGAAATTCTGAACAATTTGACACAATCAGCATTTTAGTACATTACAAATGATAAGTCATGAGGAAAAAAATGATTTTAATATCTAAAAATACTCTGGAAAACCCACAACTTTACATCCTAATTACCTTACACTTTTACAGTGCCAGTCAACTTAATATCTCCATTAGGGTTTCCACAATTATCATATCTTCAGCTTCCTCAACATGACTGTGCTATTTGTTGTCTCAATCTAAAAGATTTGTGTCCTCTTGGATGTAAATATTGAGCTAAAACAGAGTGCTAATGTTATATTACAAAAGATAATATTGCTTCATAGTATGGGGTAAAATGAAGTGTTATTTTTTTAGTGTTCAAATTGAAGTACTTATTAAAATACATCTTAAATATTCCAATTTGTGCCTTGATTCCTGAAGTCCTCAACTATGAAAATATTTTGCAAATGAACATACGTATCATCTATGCTGCTACTTTTATGCCGTCAGTGGGCTCCTGTAGGTGAATGAAAACACATTTCCAGTCTTCCATGGATAGTCAGCCCTGCCCTCCCATCCACTCTTGTCTGTTTTAGCCTAAACACAAGGATAATGTATCAGCAAGACATCAAAGCAGCCTAACTAACCCACCTAAATCACAACTGCATTTGTGATAGTTGTGGGTTTTCCACCAATTCTGACATTTTATCCCCATTTGTAGATAAATAGTATGTAATCTTGTGTAGACCAATCACTGTATGGTAGTACTTTTTTCATGTGGAATGTGATTTCAGTCCAGGCAGGTAAAGGTAATCACAAATTCATAATTAGTAAAATTAGATTAAATTATATTTCTTTAGATTTTAAAAACAATGTATTCACTTGCTTCTAAAGTAACTTTATAGATATAAATGTATTCGTACATTAAGATTATAGTAACTTATCAATTACATTAAGATTGAAAAAGTATATGAATTTTAAAAATTCTAATTCTCTTTAGAAATCAATCCAAGAAGAAAAACGAAGACCAAGGAAAGAGAGGTAATTAATACTTCTAGATTACAATAAGTCATCTTATCAAACTAAAATATAAATTCATATATTTTATAAATACAAATATTTATAAGGGTCAGCTTTTCTCTTAGTGGCCCAAAGGTCGTTATGAACCCTGATCTAGACTGGCCAATCTGGAACATTGTTATCACCACCTACCTAGTGACTGCTAGTTTTGTTCCAAGTTCAACACAATAGAACCAGAAAAGGTACTCCAGCAGCTAATGCTTTCTTGCAGGTAGGAGATAAAGGCTTCATTTTCCATTTTAATTTGTAGTAGATACTGCTTTTGCAAATTTCAAGACCTCTGTTTCTATTGACATGTATGATAGTAAACATTTTAAAAGAAGAAAACAAATATCTTTTAGGTTTAAGTGAGTAGAAAAGTAGATTCATGTTATGGTGTGTTTGTGTTCATTTACAGCCAAGGCAAATTATTAGATTTGGAAGATTTCTATTATAAGGAATTTTTGCCCAGTCGTTCTGGACCAAAAGAACATAATCCTAGTTTCAAAGAACAAAGACCACACAGAGAACTCCAGAATCATTATTTTGAGGCTGATAAAAGGTAATAAGTACAACTTTAAAGTATTATATTTTCTATTTTGTATTTACAATCCCATTTCTAAAACACATTCATTTTATATATGGACTAATGGCAAAGCATTCTTACTGAATATTGCATCTTATGTTTGAAATATTCAAAGTGAAAGCATAAATACTATATTAGGTAAATCAGACAGCCCAGTTTTTCTAACAAAATACCAGCATATACCTCTTTTCTTGATAAAATTATTATAGGACCTCTTTTTAAAAGTAACCCAGCTTGGATGATGAGTCCTATGGTCATCCTAATGATAAACCAAAAACCGTATCCAGCAATCTATGTTTAAGCAATAACCAATGTAATTTTAATCACTTACTGGTTTCTAGGGTGTGCTATATAATTTCTTAGAATCATTGATATCAAACTAAAAAATATTTGGGAGATTCACATGGAAATACATACTTGGTATTTGGTTTCTCACTTTGCCATCAACTGTGTTTGACATTAGGTAACTTAAAACATTTATAGCTTACTTACTACTTGGGGCCAGAGGGGAGCTTCTTTCCACAAAAACTTTTTCGTGAAACTTTGAAATGGAAGGTACATAAGAATATGGAAACATGGTATTCTAGAAATGTAAACAACGACAGGCAATAAAAACCCATTTTTCCAAAATCCTAGGTGGATCCCTGCAGCCCTCTCTTTTGCAGTGGGACGTGGTGGTTAAGAGGAAAGGTTTTTGAGTAAGGCAGTGTTAGAGTTGGATTCTGATTCTGCCACTTAAGAGTTGAGTGACCTCACTCTGTTACTCAACCTCTCTGAACTTCAATTTCCTCATCTGCATAGGATTTACTAATAACTGCCTCACCAAGTTGTCACAGAGATGAAATGAAATGATCTGTGTAAAGCACTTAGCCCCAGATGTGGCATGGGAGGGTGTTCTATTAATGGTGGCAATTATCAAATTTACTTGCTTTTCCAGAATACATCTCAACTATGATTTCTGCTGTTTGTCTCCAGAGGGATATGTATTCTTCCATCTGGGATCGAGAACTATAACATGTTGAAACTTAAGAGTTCTAGGCTAATCACAGAGCTCTAAACAGGAGAAAACCAAGTGACGGAAAGATTGAGTGGCTTGGTTAAGAGTCACACATTGAGTTAGGGAACTAAAATCCAAGATTTTGTACTCCCTACTCAAATTGCTTTTCACTGACTTGCCTGCTTTCCATTTTAACAGCCCAGTCTCCCTGCTCTCTAGTATATTCTTCCTCTCCCCCCGCTGATGGACACACACCTGCTGTAAAAACATTTTATCCCTGAAACACTCTCTGACATGTCAGTGGTGTCTATGAATGTGTAGTCAGTATCTACCAGAATAAGAAAACTCTGAAGGTTAGCAATAGTTGAATGCTTACTTTATGCTAGTCATGATGCTATTATCTCATTTAATCTTCATAGCAACCTTGTAAATAGTTACTCTTATCGCCCCATTTTATAGCTTCAGATGCTAACTCTTACAAGTTTAGTGATAGCAAATAGATAATAGTGATTGAGTTAGAATGTGAATACCAGCCTTTTGAAATTTAGAGCTGATGAATTTACTGCTCTGCAATGGCTCCCCATGCAATGCCCCCTGCTGGATGTTTGAAGAAGGGGTGAATGTAAGGGTGCCTATGATGTGACCCTTCTGTCATAGGACCTTAACTCTGTCCAAGAAACTTAGCTCTAGAGGGCAAGTACATTGATCTAACAAAGTTAAACAAGCAACTCCAAGGGGGAAATAATATTTAAAAGAAAAACCACCAAACACAATAGATAATCCTTGGTAGAACCCTGGATTTAAAATAGAAAACAAAAACAAAACAAAATGTCTAAAGTACATTTTGGAATGGACTAGAGTTTTGGGTCATGGTGCTTTGGTGGTGGGCACACTATGGCAATAACACCTGGGGTGGGGTCCTATATTCCCAAATGCAAACAATGATGTAAACCAACAGTACCTCAATTTTTTAAAAAATATGGAAAATAAGGTACATTCTGGTATAATTAGAGAGATTTAATGCTAAGTATATGTTGGATGGTATTACAGAAAGGCATAGCATTAAATTATTATATAATAAATGTTTTATAATTTACATTATACAAATGTATATTATAATGATAATGTACACATTATTAATACATAGTACACACAGGTACTGACATCACCCAGGAAGGTGATGGGCAAATCACACCAGGAAGGTATGAGCAAATCAGGGTCAACAGCAGTGATGAACTGAGTGCCTCATGAACATGAAGTGAATATAGCAGGTGACAGGTAGTGATCACAGAAGGCATTTAGAGGAAAACAGGAGAACCGATGTTTCCTTACCTCCTCCTAAGATGGGCCTTGATGAGTACTACTGAGAGATGTGGGGTGTTTAAGGCCTAACCAGGTTTTAATTATGGCAAAGAGATATAATAAGGGTGGGAGGGGAGAAAAATAAAATGGAATAAGAATGCCTCGGTTAAGGAATAGGGGAATCATGAAAGAATCAGCAGCAGAGAAAAGGAAACAGGCTACAGTGAGACAATATGAAATAAGTATCTTAAATGTAGCATAACCAAAACCTTTATCCCAGCCACCCCCAAAATACATGCAGCTTTCCCTGGGTTATTAAAAGGTAACTCCATCCTTCCAGTTTTTTAAGCCAATGGCCTTGGATAGATTCTTGATTCCTTTCTTGATTCCAGCCTATCGGTGAATTCTTTCAGTTCTACCTTTCAGGTCAGACTGGTTCTTAACCTCCTCTGCAAACATGGTCCAAGCCACTCTCAGTCTTGCTGCGGCTGTTGAGTACCTCTTAGCGGCCTCCCCACTGCCACTTTGGCAGCATCCTTAGAGGAATCATCCCTCTATTCAGAGCTCTCCAGTGTCTTTCTCATTCTGTAAAATTTAAGTCCTTGCACTGTTCCAAAAGCACTAAATTGTCTGCACACTGTTCCCCGCCTTCCTCCTGCTCTCACCCTTTGCTTTTCTGCCCTTGCTTATTCCATTCAAGCCACAGTCACCTCCTTGCTGCTCCAGGAAGACCACACGCTATAGTCTTGGGACTTTTGCATTGGTAGACCTGTCATTCAGGAATGAGAAGTTTGCGTGGCTTATTTCTTCCCTTTGGACCTCCCCTCACATGTCACCTTAGCAGAGAGGCCTTTCCTAATAACCCTCTATGAAATTGCTTTTAAATACACACACACACACACACACACACCATCACACTTTCCTCATTAGCCTGCTTTTTTTTCCCCTTTGGCATCTCTGGCCACCTGGCATATAAAAGCTGTCTGTGGTCCCACACGAGTGTATAAACCCCCTGAGAACAGGAGCTTTTTTTCACCTGTCACCTACATTGGTGGCTGGTACTTAGTAGGTGCTCCATGAATAAATGACCAAATCTATGTAGCTGCATTTTAGGGAGCACCCACTCCTCCAGGCAAGCCACAGAATCAGAAGATAAATATAGGGGGGTTCCCAGCAGTGAGTTCTGCAAAGGTGGCCCAACAGCCTCATTGAAAGAGCCGATAGACACCACAGCTCCGTGTCACTCAGTGGCAGCTCAGATTTGGGGAAGCTATTTTTTAAAAGTGTTTTTCATTGAGGTAGCATTGGTTGACAACACTGTATATGATTCAGAAGTATAGGTTTACACCTCTCCAGAGGAATGTCCCCACACCACACCCACCACATCGTCCTAGGAGATCTTTTTGAAAGAAACATTTGAGCTATATTAAAATGCAAGCTAAGCTCATCTTTCAGAAATACACCTTCTGATGCTTTACTTAGCTCTCAAAAATACAAAGTCACCAGATTCCACTAGCCTTTCTGCTCCTCGACTCAGGAGAGTTTTGAAAATCTGCTGAGAAAATGATCACAGATATGTTTGGCCGCTGTCCTGTTTTGAATGCACCATTTTCAGTGCCCACAGCAGTGGGCAGGAGGTGTGGGAAAGCGACCAGCCTGACGGGTGGGAGGGGTTGCGTTGTGGCGGGTGGCGCAGGCAACGCTTGGGCCCTGGGTCTCGTTCGCAGGTGCTGGGCAGCAGAGAGCAGGGAAGAGGAGGACCCGCGCGCAGCCAATCCCTTCGACTACCGGAGACTCCTGCGTAAAACCTCCCAGCGTCGGCGCCTGGTCCAGCAATAGCAGCCCTGCCTCTGCAAGTCCACAGCCGCGGGAATAGTCCGGGACTGCGTGACTGCACGCGCCCAAGGGGGAGACCTCAGGTGCTGCCACACCAAACGCCAAAGCCATGCCACTGACCTTCGCATGGACTGCCCCTGCGCTGGCCCCTCGCGTGCCCGGGCCTGCCTTCCAGGCTGCGGACCTGGAGAACTGGGGAAGCTCCGGCTGTCACCTGGCCACGCTCTCACCAGCCCACTAATTGGGCATTCTTGTCCTTGTCTCCAATGTATTTCTTTGTTCACTTATTGTAACTCCCCTTCTGTGGGCCAAGCTGCGCCTCCATACGCACTGACCTCTCTTATTTTGGGTGACTTAAAATTTCTCTGCTTTCTTGGAAACCACTCTCCGGAGAGAGGTCAGACGGGTTAATTCCAGAGAAAAGAACAAAGCCCCCAACGGAGGGGTTAGGAGGGGAGGGAACAGAGTGGGACTCTGAGGAACTTGATCGCAAACTTGCACTTTGCCGTCAGTTGGCTTTTAGGGTTACTAAATAAAGTGCCTTGGAAAGTCCCTGGCTTTCTGGGCTGTTTCTCTTTAAAATCCTTTAGGTGCAGTTTCCTGCTACTGTAGACTTGGGGGTGGGGGTGTGTGAGGAGGTGTTGAGGTGCCTTCTGTGTGCTAGGAACCCCGGGCCAGCCATCCCAAACTGGAGAGAGAGAGCTAAGTTAAAATCCTGTACTTGCTACAGAAATGCTGCCTCCAGGCAAATCTTCAAATTCTCCCCAAGCCAGCGCACCCGTGTACACACACACACACACACACACACACACCCTTCCCACGTGGCTTCCTTTAGTCCCACCTCTGAATTGAACTGTCAGGATTTTTTTAGGTTCTACTAAGGCAAATTTGGCGGCTACCTTTGCTGCTCCGAAATTTGGTGCGTTTAAGATGGAGGGGAGGGCGGTGGGCAGGCAGAAGTTTGCATGGCATGGTTGGCCGCTTGCTGTTTGAAGCCGCAGGTTAAGCTCTGGTATGCAGTTGCCCCCTTTCACATCTACTCGACCTGGAGAGGGTGAGCAAGGCCGGCACAGTGGGTTCCCCGACGACCGAATTGGGGGAAGGGACGGGTGCTTGTCCCTTTTGCAGATATTCTCAGGACAGCACTCAGGGCACAGCCAGGAGACTTTGGGGACATATTCCAGGAGAGTGAGGGCTCATGCAGCCGGCGTGTTTTGCCATTTTCCCACTGGGTAACGTTCTCTCCAACCTTAAGAGTTGGCGGTGAAAGATTCCTGGCGATGCTTGGTGCACCCTCTTCATGTTACGAATGAAACTTGCGGGAAGGGAAACACCTCACCATGACAGTGCTGAACTCTGAATACAAGTGCATTCTAGGCCCTGCTTTTTCCCCCCAGGGCTGGAGCCAAGGCCTCAGCTGGGGGTTGGGTCCCCCCAAGGGAGGACCCAACCCGCGAACAGTTTCCACCCCTGCTGAGCCAACTGACAGTGCAGCTGTGGCGGACTACAGAGCTTGCCCTGGCCCAGACACCAACAAAACCAGAGCGACAGGGCGCTCGCTGTATGCTAGCTGTGGTGCGGTATGGTGGGGGTGGGGGTAATACCTGTAACCCAGTGATCCAGCCCCCTCCGCCTCTGCCCCCACCGGTCCACCCAGCACCTGATTTTGAGTGGGAAAATTCGAGCTCCGCTTGTTTCCCAGGTCCCTTTTTCAGTCCAGGCTTCCGAAGTGGCCTCTGCAATCCAGAACCGGTTCTTGCCTTGCTGGATGCAGAGGGAACAGACTCCACCTTCTCTTTAAAGTGGAACTGGAAACAAGAATGGCAAACTCTTGGTGAAAGGTTTCAATTCTTTTGTTTCCCTTTTTTTCTTTAGATTTCTTTGTTTTCTCTGCTTTCCATCTTCCCTTCTTCCTCTGTTCTGCAACATTTAACAATGGGAGGACAAAAAGGGACAACTTGCACCAAACACTTTTCTTTGACACCCCTGCAAGGCAATCTCTGGATAAAGCACAGACAAGAGATTGGTCAACCTAGGAAGCTGGACCCAGCGGGTGGCCCCCCGGGATGGTGGGTCTCTGTCCAGAGCTCCTTATTGGAGGAAGCGCCTTCCAAAGCTTTTCCCCAGCACTGGCCCGCCTCCCGTTCCCATTCGGGGCTGCCTCCTTTGTGAACTAATGACTGTAATTATTACCTCCCTGAGCTCCTTTGTTATCTCCTACCCCTAGCCTGAGAACAGGGGGAGTGGGCTCTTTTTGCAAAATCAAAGTCTTTATAAAGCAAATTGCCGTCTAGGGAGGGACAACGCTAAAGAAAGACAAATCAAATCCCCGTATGCATCTGAAGTAGGGTGTGTTATTTTTTTTTAAATGTAAATTCCACCATTAAAGTCGAGGTACTCCGAATCTGTGCAAGAGTTAATGGAATTTAACAGCTTTTGAGCTCCGTCCGTTTAAAAAAATAATAACCTGTTAAATCCAGGCGTTGGGAATTCTGCCTTCGGGGTTTCCTGGGTGTTCCCCCTTGCTTTAAAGAACCTGGATGTTTTCGATCACTCATCCACGTAGACAAATTCAGGAACCCTGGCCTGCTTGCTTTAAGGGAAACATTTGCAGGATGTGATACGGATTTAAACAAAGAACTGGTTTCTGCGACAGCCAAATGCAGCTGGAGCAAGAGCTGTGGAACTCTCCAGCCCACGGCGCACACCGCCCAACCGTCAAGTCTTCACTCTCCCGGGGTTGCTGCTACCTGAGTTCAGCTGGACCGTCTGAGCCGTGAGCGCGGGGAAGAGGCCTGGGTACGTGTCCACCGCGCTCCCGCGCATCCTGGTGCAGTCCCTGCGCCAATGCTATGGCAGGACCCAGCCGTCGCCCTTCTCAGCCTCACGCCCAGCCCCAGGCTGGCTGGGCTGAAGGGCTGCAAAACTTCCCTCTCCGACGGATGCCGCACGTGGTAAGAGCCCAGAGCTTTACTGACTAGGCCCCCGCGTGTTCGGGAGCAGAAGATTTGGGCCACTCCTGGCCCCCACGACACAATCCTAAGTGAGGGTGGAGGTGTGCTACCCGAGACTGAGGATCCGTGGGTCTTTGCTTTGGCAACAGCTTTACTGACTTGGTTCGGAAGGTCAGAGAAGCAATGGCTGGAGAACATAATGGAAAAGAAACGCGCGCACCCAAGGAGAGCAGCAGGCCCGGGAATGCACGCCGCCGGAGGCCCTGCGCAGACCCTTCCCGCCCGGCTCCCTCTCGCCTTCTCTCGACCCCCAGAGCAGCAAGGAGTGGTTGAGGTTGGTCTCCACCGCGGAGAGAACGCGACCGAACTCAGCCGGCCCCAGCTTCTCAGTGCGCCCTCCCTTTGTTTACCAGCTTTTAGGGGAAAAACGTTATCAGAGAGATTCTTTCTCTTTTCTTTTTCAGGAAAGACCTCAGAAATAGCGAATCCCGCTCCCTCCCCCCACCCACCAGTCTCTCCAGGGGATTCTTGATTTGGGGCTGCGGCTGTGGTGTGGGGCTGAATCATTGGCCTGTGGCCTATTAAAAAAGCGAGGGCCAAGCAGGCGATACCTTCTTTCTACATCAGATTTGGAAAATGCAGATTGCTCAGATTGGGAAACTATGCACACCTCCCACGCACGCACTGGCTCCCGTCACAACTAAACTGCGGGTTCGTCCACGGCTCCGCCCGCCAAGGTCACCAAATGACCCGCTCCCATCTCCCTGCAGCCGTCAATCCTGCCGGCTCAGGCTGCCCTCCCGAACCTCCTTTTTAGAAGTTTCCATTCGTTTTATTTTTCTCCCGGCCCGAGGTCCTCGGTATTAGACTCCAGCATGGATTTTAATTTCCACAATCAGCAGCCTTTCTCCCCAGTCGTCAGTTAGACCCTAGACGGTAGTTCCCACCACCGCGTGTTCCGAAGCGCTGGAATGGTTCGTCCCCGGGGACCCTGCGGCTGGCTAGGCAGGCTTTTGGCTCCATTAAGGAGCTGAAATGAGCCCATTAGGGCGCACGCGCCCTTCCCCACGTTCCCCAGCCAAGCTCGCCAAACGCTCAAGATTCCGGCCTGGCTGCGGGAGCTCTCGAGGTCACAGCGACCTCGGCACTGGCTTAGAAGAAGGCGGTGCTGAAACCGCGCCTTCTTACCCGCAGCGAAAACCAAACCTCAAACTGTACGCCACCCGATGCAAACACTAAACTCGTGTCACCCTTCTCCCTGGCCAAGGTCTCTAATTTATCCCCGCTGAGGTCGGAGCGCAACCAGCCGCGTTAGCACCCTGGACAGCGCACGCGGGCCTGCGGGGGCCGCCTGCGCTCAGTCCTCGCGCCCTCCCGGGGTTCGCCCGCACGCCTCCCACCCCCTCACTCTGACTACAGCTTGTGCGCACTGTCTGCCTCGCACCCTCACGATTCAACTCCCTCCCTCTCCCCTATTTCCCCTTCACCGCCCCCTCATCCATCCTTATTGGGCTGCCTCTCCTTCTAAATCAATCGGACGCGCGGCTCTTCTCATCCCCTGGCTCAGAGCGGGGACCTTTCGGTCCTCCTTATTTACCTCTACAGTTTTCAGATTGCTGCCACGTCTCTAAGCCGTGACCCTAACCCACAGGCACATGCACTCGCAGACACGCACGTTTCCTGTCCCTGTGTGACACCCACCCTCCGCCGCGGGTCCGCGCGCGCTGCCCTCCTCGCGCCACACACACGCGCGCGCGCGCAGGGCCGAGCCCAGGACAGCTCGCCGGCAGTTTGCACTCGCAAGCGACCTGCTCCGGTCTCGCAGCGCCGATGGCATCTCCTGGCTCCGGCTTTTGGTCCTTTGGGTCTGAAGACGGCTCCGGGGATCCTGAGAATCCGGGCACAGGTAGGAGAGACTACACCTGCAGCAGGCGAGCTTTACCGGCGGACTGGGGGTTTTCTGGGCTAGGGGAAAGACGGAAGGAGGTTTTTCCACCTGCAACAGGAAACTTCAGACGATTTGCCCTTTCTCCGGGCAGGTCCGATAGCCCCAGAGACCAAGCCCCCCTACAGTTCTTTACCCCCCGGGGAGACACCCAAAGAGTCTCGGGAGGGCCCCTTGCGCTGCATCTGAGAGACACCCAAGGAAGGCAGCGTCTCCTTGACACTGAATTCCGTGGCTTTGGGGCACTGGCACCATGTTGGTGCCTGGACCCTGGAGAGGGATCGGATGGCTGGGGTGAAAGGAAAATGGGGAAGGAGAGAGGAGTCTTGGTCTAGGAGAAGATGCTAAGCGAAACCGACAGCCTCGGTGTCGAGGAAAGTCGCCCGAGCAAGGTAGGGAGGGGAGTTAGCCTGCGCCGGTTAGCACCGTAGTAAATAACTACAGGGGCCGCGGATAAATGGGAGAGGAAGGGAAGGGCTTCTCCTTGGGAAACAAATCAGCGACCAGAGGGCTGGAAGGGCCCCCAGGCTCCCGCGCACCTAGCGCACCTGCCGGCTTGTGCCGAGCCCCGACCCCGCGAATGTTGTCGTTGTTTACATAAAAGGAAATTTCACACGTTCGCCTGCACTTCTCTTTCTGTCTCTCTGTCCTCCTGCCCGTCTTTCCTTGCAGCGAGAGCCTGGTGTCAGGTAGCCCAGAAGTTCACCGGCGGCATTGGGAACAAACTGTGCGGTGAGCGCCCGCGGCCCGGGGGAGGTGGATGGATAGGGCCCGACGCCTCGGGGGCCGCGGGAACAAAGCCCCTTCTCGCGCTCAAACTACCAGCCGAGGCGGGGGGTTCTCGGCAGGGGGTGGGCTGGGACCCGGGGCGCCGGGGGCGACTGAGCGAGGCGCGTGCTCGGTGTCCTTGACCAGCCCTGCTCTACGGAGACGCGGAGAAGCCGGCGGAGAGCGGCGGGAGCGAGCCCCCGCGGGCCACCTCGCGGAAGGCCGCCTGCGCCTGCGACCAGAAGCCGTGCAGCTGCCCCAAAGCGGACGTCAACTATGCTTTTCTGCACGCAACAGGTAAAGGTGCCTCTCAAGGTCCGGGGCAGCCCCTAGTCCTCGCTCTGCTCCACTCACCTCGGCCTGGAGGGTCTGGGTGTCGCGAGCCTGACCAAGGCGTCGAGGTGGAAGGTGAAGGGAGGACCCTGGGGGAATATTGAGCTGAAAGCTAGAATCGCCGAGCCTGCCCCACTGTCAGAGCCCGCACACCGGTCTTTGCGCGCCGACGGGCCCCGCGTTCCCCTGGGGTTCTGGGCTGAGGAGCACTTCAGGCTGGGCCGCCCTCCCGTCTGTTTGTGACCCACGAGCAAGCGCGCGCTTAAAGCTAGACGTACGCAGGGTTTTTGGTGCCACGGAGGCCTTGATTTCCAGTTCAGAACAGCTGAGAGGTTCTAGGTCTTTAGATCTCAGGAGTAATTTGTAGCTGCGAGTTCACAGGAGATTTTACTCACGTGAGACCTGGGCGGTTTTTACTCTTGCATTTACACAACTATGTTGAGTTTACACACCCAGTTATCCAAACAAACGCGCGCGCACACACACACACGCACACACACACACACACACACACACACACACACACACATACACACTGACTTTGGAAATACCGGATCTCTGTAACAGGCCAGTGCGTTTCCACTTCCCCTGGCTAGCCCGAAGGCACTCCTCAAACATTTCTGACATGAGTTTTCCCATTATCATTGAAGATGATTTACTGAGAAATGGCTTTTGAGAATAGCCCCTGTGAAATAAATTAATGGACGCAGACTCTAAAATAAATAAATTGCGAACTGAAACGTAACCATCCATTGGGGGTGGGGAGGCTCATCATTTCTCATTCCTTCGTCTTTGAAAAATATCTCCCCTTTAACAAAACGGTATGCGTTTTCATAAGCTTTATGTTTAACAAAATCTCTCAATCCAAAGGGAAATTGCTGGACTTGTGTGGATATTTTCGTAGTAAAATTAAAATGTGATGTTTTGGTTCTATGTTTTAGACCTGCTGCCAGCGTGTGACGGGGAAGGGCCCACTTTGGCATTTCTGCAAAATGTTATGGACATTCTGCTTCAATATGTGGTGAAAAGTTTTGATAGATCAACCAAAGTGATTGATTTCCATTACCCTAACGAGCTTCTTCAACAGTATAACTGGGAATTGGCAGACCAGCCACAAAATTTGGAGGAAATTTTGATGCATTGCCAAACAACTCTAAAATATGCAATTAAGACAGGTATTGTGGAATCAGAAATAATAAAGCTCCTTTTCTCCTTTACCATTTTTCTATAAAAATGTTTTGTTTTATGACATTATTATTATTTTCAAAATTACAAGGTTATTTTCATCATTTAAGAAATATGAGCATTATGACCATGATTAACATCAAAAGTGCTCTATACTGTTAACGCTTCTGAAGTTGAAAATATCAGAACACTAAGTGTAAGCTGTCAGAATAAGTATAGATTTTCAGAATTCACATTGTAAGTATTAGTCTTTGGAGATAATGATGTGGAAGCAACCATTTGTCAGCTCAGGTGACCCAAAATGGAGAAAAGGAATATAGAAGTAACAACTTAAATAGCATAATCCAAAAAGCCCAAATATCATTGTAGTGCTGGTAATGTATTTGCCATAGAAATGGTCAGAAATTAGTTGAAGCAGCCTATGTGATCAGGGAACCAGATGTATAACATTTTGGCATCATTTCAAATGGCCAAACCTTCAAATATGAACTCCAGGTTTTCTCCATTTTTAAAGATATGTACACAAAAGACAGCACAATACAAGATAGCTTAACAATTCAGCCATGTTGTAGAAGAATATGTTTGCTTCACAGTCACTCTGTATATAAAATAAAGGAAAAAAGGGGGAGGCATTAGACATTCTTAGGGGGGAAATTTTTAACATGTTTCATGGTCTGACTTCCCCCCCACAGTATTTTTCCACATTATCTACCCTGTAATCCCAGGTAGAGCACTTATTTAGGTGCATTCCATGCTTTCATTTTAGCTATTCATCTTTCCAGGTCGTGATTACCTCTTCTTTTCTACATTGCCTCTAATCATCCTGACACACCGTGGCACTTCATTAAAGCAATAAAAATAAGTATGAATGAATTGGAGGAGGGGAGGCCCCTGTGGATCTCCACTGATCTGTAGATTTGTAGCTTTGAAAAGATTTGCAAGCAAATAAATAGATAAAATAGTACATGAATATTAATTGCTATGAAAACTTGATCTTTTTATACTGGGAATTTTTTGTTGATGAATTGTCAGTATCATTCTAATCAACAACAAACACTTTCAGAATGTTTGCTATGAGAATATTAGGGGTTCTTCCCCCTTTGCACATTCTTTATGCTAAGAGAAAGGATAATTATGCATAGAAGTTGACTTGGGAAATCAAATTACTATGTTATTAATAAATTGTATATTTACTAATTTGCTGTGTCATTAGTAACCAGTTTTGTGAGACTATGGATTCATAGGGAAAGGAATTTAACTTGGCAATTGCTATCAAATTCAAAACAGTCTATGGAGTATGATTTTTGAATGCTCATTAAATATCATTCTCAATTATGTTCATAGAGAAAAATCATGATGAAGGCACTGATGATGTTTTTCCTCCAAGCTTTTCAAATATCTGTAGGTGCAAACCTGAACAGTGCTTTTAATTCATTTTTGTTTGACTCATTTCTTAGCCAAACATTTGAATATATTAATAATAAATTGCTACATGTTATTTTTATTGTTGCCAAACCAAAAAGAATCTATAAAAATGTTTTGCATCTTCATCCTTAAAAGCTAGTGGTGTCTGAAATGCAATTTGAAGAGTTAAGATAATGAGAATGCGAGTCAATGAAAGCCTGTCATATATAGTATCAGGAAAAGATGGACCAATTCAATACTTGGGTTTTGCCATAACGCTTGTGAGGCTGATAGTCTAGTAGAGCGCTAATGCCTTTAATTCAAAGCTCAGATAGAAATTTGTTTAAGTTGGATTTCTAAGTAAAGTGTACCAATATTATTCATAACATGTATAACCTTCTGGTCTCCCTCCTCCATGCCCAGTGAAATGCTATTGCATTTCAAAGAATGAAATGCAATTCCATTAATTTGATTGGCACGTTTATGAGTTTTCATGCTATAACTTGTATTTAACAGCTAGTACCATTTACCATCCCTACTAACTTTAGGCATTTTGATAGTCCTCAGGAGATTCTCTTATAAAATGCATGTGTCACCTGCTTTCTTCTGCGAGTCATTAACCTAATTTCCACTTGGACTCCAAGCTTAGGGAGGAGTAAGAGACAGTGGGGAAATACTTTAAAATGAACTCTTCTTACATTGCTAAAATTACCTCTGCAAGAAATGCTGGAACAGAAAACAGCAGAGAATGATAGAATTCTGGTATAATTAGTGTTTGCGAGGGTGGGGGTCGTTCGATTTCGTGGTGGTGATGGCTGGGGGTTAAAGTCTTCGCTCTGTTAACCCAACCATCAAACAAAGGAATTGAAGCGTCAATAAACAAGGCGGTCCTTGCGTGTGTCTCCGGGACCTAGAAAGCAGATTGGACCGACTTTTGGCCCCGCCCCGACTGATTGCAGCCTCGAAGGTCTGAGCTGCTAGGGGCTGATTGTTCGCAGAGCCTGTGCATCCTTCCTGGCTCTTTTGCTAATTTGTGGCGAGCGTTCCAGGGGCGGGAGCGGCTCTAATCTCCAACTGGTTGTCTCCCTGGCTACGCAGGTTGAGCAGCGGCCTGTATTCCGCTGCGCACGCTTGCAGCGCGGGGCCTGGTGGGGGTAGCGGCGGCAGCAGCTGGATGCAGGGGAGCTGCTGACACAGCTGGCAGGTTCCACCGCAGGTTTCTCACACCCCTGCTGTCAAAGAGTCCTTCCTAGATCCGCTGGGCAGCCCTCACGCAGCCTGTAGGGGTCATAGGGAGAGAACAATACACATTATTTCTGCAAAATATCTTTGCAGAATCAAGAAGGCATATCGTTCTGACCTGTCAACCTATCTCCCGCCATGTTTTCACATCATCAATGGGTGAAAATCATGAAGCTGGAGCGATTTAGGTGCAATAGTAGACCCCCTTCAAAAAACCATAGAAGGGAGCCAGGCAATAGAATCATCAAACTTGTTTTCATCATTCCCCAAAGGTAATCAGTCATTGCTCTCCACTGGCCCTCTGATTTCCTGGAGCAGGACACATGCCTTGGGGTCCTTTTCTATTTTATGCAGGGATTTTCATGTCAAAGTTCCCGTAGAGTAAATAGTGAGTGGCAATAGACACCAGCTTCATCCAGAAAATACAACACCAGCTTCCTCCAGAAAATGCTTATGAATCAAGAGAGTAGATTAATGGATAGATTTGCTAATCCTTACTAATTTCCTTGCTTTAAAAAATGGCTTGGTACAGAGAAATGGAGGAACATCAGGAGGGAGAAAATGACAATGATTTCAGCTGTGAGCTCTAATGAAATGGGAGTCAATGAGGCAGAGAGAGTGGAGGGTTGTTCCAGACGATGGTGGCAGCAAAGGCTTTTTCACTTTCAGTGGATGGGGAAACTGACAGGAGTCAGCATCAGAGGGTGTGAAAATGAGCAGAAGAGAGAAGGGCATGTGCAAGACCCTGGGGAGGTAAAACAATACCAGGGAATGAGCAAGCGCTACACAAATCCCAATCCTTTTTAAATGTGATTTTCCTAATTCTATCTTTTCTCAGTGTCTAATTCTCTAGCCACATGCCGGAGGCTGATAAGAGAGCCCTCCGGTCCTGGCGATAAGGTATATGTTGACTTTTGTTCCTGCTTCCCCGGTTGCCTTCCTTTATCTTGTTCTATCCATGCTTTTGATGAGAGACTATCACATCCCCAGGCTTCAGACAGGTTTCCAATAAGTGGCAGGTGCTTATTTTTATCAGATGCTATCTCCAAAATTATTAATCTTCCAAAATTTCTGCTGCTAAGATTATCATGGAATATTTATAGATAGATTTCTATGGGGCAAGACAAGGAAACAGAATTCTAATGAGATATTTACAATGTCATTTTAAATAATAGCTTCAGGGGTATTTGTATGTCAACCCCTTCAGAGTGTTTTAGAGAAATCGAGAAGTTAATAAGATAAGCCTTGCTAATGGACTGATTATTCTATTGAATATATCTTTATGTATCTTCCTGAAATACAGTGATATTAACTGCATTCAGGTTTACTTTAAATCTCAACTATGATTGTTTCATTGTCTTTGCAATCAAATAGACATTAAAAAAATTGAGTTTGTCCATGCCATCTTTTCACCAATCATCACCTTTGAATCCAGGGCAAATCACTCCACTGAGCGTCCTATTTTCTCATTTTTGCCTTGTCTTTTGTAATCATCAGTCATTTGTCACTGATATTATTATGAATGTTGACATGCCTGGCAGACATCAAGGTATGACTGATTCCCAGAGCAGCTTCAACAACAACAAAAAAATGGGCAGGGTGGGAGGGATTTTTAGCAGCATGAGTGTAAGCAAGGAATAGCCTACCTTTAGCTTTGGGTTGTTCCAGCATTTAAGTTTGCAAATGTATTGAAAGAATGATAGGAAATAAACTAGTGTTCAGACTGCAAACCAAATTCGTGAAAGGATATGTTTAAAGGAAGTTTTAAAAATGTGTCTTTAAAAATAGTAAAAAGTGCTCTTTGGGTGTGTGTGTGGGGGGGGGGGGGGGTGTTGAGCTTCTGAAATGGATTTCCATGAAAGGTATTTCAAGGTTCTTTAGTTCAGGAAATCATGTGCTTCAGTGGTATTTATTTTCATTTCATGTAATTCTGAGTCTGATATTCCATTCTATCTAGGGCATCCCAGATATTTCAATCAACTTTCCACTGGACTGGATATGGTTGGATTAGCAGCGGACTGGCTGACATCAACAGCAAATACTAACATGTAAGTAGCTAATGTGTTTTGTGTAATCCATGATAATTAGTGATAATTATTATAGTCTTTACCTCTTATGATGTTGTCCCCTTTTTTAAGTGTCTCCTAAAACAGTGACACAAACTTCAGAATTATGAGTAGCCTAACAGATAATAGTCCTGATATATATTCCATGCAATCAAAGTTATACAAAATTTTTCTAAACACAAAAGGGACTTTTTTGACATTTTGTATTTACAACGATGCCAAATGTTAGAGGAAAAATGAGATGATATGCAATCTTTTAGATAGCATTACTCTTTAATTCTTTATTCAGTATGATAAGTAACTCTGGTACATAATGCCAAAAATTGAAGCTCTTGGCTTTCAGGATATAGGAAAATGAGGAACCTTTCAGAAGATATAATTTTCTATGCTTACTGCTATAATCATAACATTTGTGAATATAGAGTTTGAAAAAGGAAATAGTTCTATAGCTATTGGGTAGTGAATTTTTTCTTAGCTACATACATAAAATGTGGCCTTTACTACATTTCAGGTTCACCTATGAAATTGCTCCTGTATTTGTGCTTTTGGAATATGTCACACTAAAGAAAATGAGAGAAATCATTGGCTGGCCAGGGGGCTCCGGTGATGGAATCTTTTCTCCCGGTATATGATATTTCAAACTTTCTTCATATTTTTCTTCTGACTTGTAATGCCTCCTTATGAACCTTGGAAAGATTAAATATCTAGTCTGCATTCCTGCTTAAGTAAGCTGTATGCTAATCAAAAGAACATGATTAGTGCTCGTGATCACTGCCCACGTCTCCAAACCAACTATCCCATGCTTGAACATTAGTCATTTGTGTCCAAAAAGAGCATAATCAGAGATGATGTTTGCCAGTATTTCCATTGCCATCCTTAACACAGTGCATATGGGTAGAACAAAAGGCATACGGAGTCCTAACAAGGAATTCACTCAGTAAGGCTCTTCTCAGAATTAGTGAAAGGAGAAAGGCAGCCACATTTAAGCACCCAGTCTATATCTTGGGTACATAACAAAGAAGATTTGCTGAATAGAGTCTCTACGCCCTATCCCCTTTCAAGTAATGAGCAGGGGGAGCTGATTTATAATAATTTTAAAGAGGACAGAGAACCCCTCAGGAAACAATTTCTTAGAACTGAAAAAGAGGGTAATGATTTCTTCAGGAGGTTTCTCATTCCTTTTCTTCTTTATCATGCTGCTCAGTCTTCTCCTCCCTACCTTTTATCACCATTTACCTATTCCAGTCCAGAGAATCAGCCTGGAATAAATACCCTTGCCCTTGACTCACAGGTCTGTGTGCAAACTTGATTTGATATGGAGAAGAAGTAGGAGTTAGGGAGGCAGCGGGAAGAGGGAGTCACTGAACCATGGAAAAGAAACCTGGTATGCTGACTGCTGCCTATCAGTGGCAAGAGTGGGGTGCTCACAATGGGCTGGTGCTCCCTGAGGGCTCAGTTCACTGAGCCTGGTTCATTGTGTCAGGCTCAGGGAAGGCCAAGTCCTTATCTCACTCAGCAAATCCACAGACAAGCAGATGAGGAGGGAGAGAGATCATAAGGAAAAAGCAAAAGCAGACATGATGAATGTGAACAGTGACCTCAAGGCCAGCATTTAAATTAAACAGGTTTGCCTATGAACTCAGATCTGCCCATTTGTTTTATGTTTGTAAAGGTATAGCACAATTTTTCAGGTGCTGAAGGAAAACGTGTGAGTTAAATGGAAGGGAAAACTAGCCTTTTTTCTCTCTTTGTCATTGGACAGTCTCTGATGAATTTTTTTTTTTTTTTTTTTTTTTTTTTTTTTTTTTTTTTTTGGTGGGACCCTCGCTGGTGGCCGGGGAACGAACCGGTGCTGCAGAGGCTGCGGGCAGCCTCGTAGCCCAGCGCTCAACTGCTGCGCCACCAGGGGAGGCCCGGTCTCTGATGAATTTTAAGGGAGCCTTTATTTTGTAGGGCATTTAGGACTTAAGGGATGCTTTCCAAAGGAACACCCTATTGAGAGAACTTTGTCATCAGTGTCTGGAACTGATACTTATGAGGCATTTTCAAGAGGAATTAGGTAGGGTGCAGAGCTCAACACCACTTCTCCCTTTCTTCTTCTTCCATTTATGAGGTGGGTTCTATGACTGAGTTGCCCCTGAGGAAGCCAGGAGCAACCCAGGCTCTCTTTAAGTGGTTCCTAGAAAGGGAAAGAACAGCTATTCTTTTGCTACTACTACGGGTGGGGGGAAGGGCTTGGGCCAGGCCTAATTTACCTAGCTAGTCCTGGAACCTGCAAGCTCCAGAAAATCTACCCAGAGAAAGACTCCTCTTTGTTAATTCCACTAAGCCAGACATGGAGATGGGAATTACCTCCCCACCCTCATCAGTGATGGGGAATGATCAGACAAAAGAGACTTAAGCTTGAATCCTGGATCCTAAGTACGCATACACTCTCAATCCAGGTTGGAAGCCCACAGATGTTATGACACAGTGTATGTGATGATGTAGTCATCACAAATTGGGGAGGAGACAGGATAAAAGGCATGGAACCTGCTTCTGCTCTGCTTTCTATAGCTGCCTTACCTGTCAGTGGATGCCTCTCTAGGTAGCTTCCAGTCTTATTCGTGAAGTGAAGATTCTTACTATTTAAGGGGTGGAGATAAGGGAAATCATATATCTTATGTCCCTAAGAGCTGAATGTCCCTTTGCTTGGGACTATGAAGGGTTAGGTCTATGACTTCAATACATAGCTAGCTCAGTTTGCCTTACCCCACCATCTATAACATCCAGAGGCTTCGTGCTTCATGGAAAGTCTTTTGGGGCTCCTTGGAGAAATTTGCTTGTATGAGTCACCTGCACCTGTGAGCCAGACAGAACTGGAACAATCCTCCCAGCAAGTCATGAAGGACTAAGAGGGGAAAAGGGAGTGTTGGGCTCATCATAAAACTTTTCCTACTTTTTTTCCTAATGAGATTTACAGTGTTTCAGGAACTGTTTGCATCTTTTCTCTGGCAGATTTGTGGGAAATAAGAGCATGCAGGGCTCATGCATCTGCCCTGGTGCTGAGTCCAGGAGAACTTCTGCAAAGCAGAAGTCCAGGAGCCTCTTTTTCCTCTCAGGAATGCTGGCCCTTTAGACAGAAAATGACTGAGCTGCAAAATGAAGGGTAGGAAGGCAAAACTGGAAACTTCTTGGATAATTGTACTGAAATGCACCTTCTTTGTATACATCTTCTCCTTTTCCCCCTGCTTTCTTTCTCCCCAGCATCTTTAAGAACAACTAGGGAATTGACTCTCCACTGGGGCTGATCATTCCTTCCGGGGCAATTTTGACAATGTATGGAGATTTGGGGTCGTCACATTGGGTTGAGGGGAGATGGTGCATAGTGCTCCAGGTATCAAGTGGGTAGAGGCCAGGGATGCTGATAAACACCCTTCAGTGCCCAGGACATTACAAGGAATTATCCAGCCCAAAAGATCATTAAGTCAAGACTGAGAAACCACAAGCAAGAATGGAAGTTCACTTAAAGTTGGTCCCTTGCCCACTAATGACTCCCACGATCAGTCTTTCTGACAGGGTGTCTGCTCAGAGAGGGTCTGACCTGGATTCTGCTTATCCCATATTTCTAGGGACTAGAAAAGCTAGGAATTGACTTTATAATAACTGAAGACGGAGTGAGATGTAGGTGATAGAGCCTCCCCTGAGCAAGGCCCAGGGCTCATGATCTTGTGGCCCTGCATGGACCGATTGGCTTAGCACAGAGTCCTGCTGCTCTTTGGTCCCACCAGAAGGGAACCTAATTCAAAGCACTGAACAGTGGCAGGGCCTCTGGATGAGAGGGGAGACTGTACCTTCATTCAGCCTCAGGGACTCACAGCTTCCATGCCAGTAGATTCATCTGCATTCATAATAACCTTTTTTTCTAGACAGCAAGCAACCTAAGCATTCTGAAATCCTGGGGAAAATCTCTTCTTTGTTTGTCAAATGGGACCCTATTTGTAAGAGACAAATCTGAGAGTATGAGGTCTTTGACAATCTTAGAACAACTCAGGAAAAGTAATTCAATATGGACTTTAATTTTCCTTAGTTGTGTGTTTTTCTATAATTATGGATAAGATTTTTTAACCATTATATTTCAATGACAATTTTGAAGAGGAAGAACTGTTTGAGGGGGGGATTGAGAGACTGTGATGAGGTGAGCTTGGAAGTTTATTCTTGTCTATAGGAATTGTTGATTTAATGGTCCACATCATTAATAGCAATTGATTTGACTCAATCCAACTGCAAGGTATTGCATGAACTGAAATGAAAAGAAGGAAGTGTTCCCCATGAGGATATTAGTAGAATTTTAATAAGCCTAATGCAGAATGACCACACTCCTCAGCCAGGTAGAAAGGCAACATTTCTCAGTTCTTGAAAGTCTTTTCCAAGGCCTCCCAGTAACAGCAGAATCCAGTGTAATTCTCCCAATGAGATGGGGTGGGTAGGGCTAGTTTCTGTCTGATATTTAGGCCCTATAATTCTTCTCTGGACCCTCTTAGCTAGTGCCTGAGTTTGAGGATTCAGTTTAATAGGTTGCTAAGGTCTTTCCCAGTGTCCAAGGAGTACTGTAGGTCCGTGGAGATAAGGAATGTGCTTATGTGTGAACCCATGTTGCTGAATAACCAGAATAGGTAACTGTCGCTGTGCCCTCTAGGTGGTGCCATATCGAACATGTACGCCATGCTGATCGCCCGCTTTAAGATGTTCCCAGAAGTGAAGGAAAAAGGAATGGCTGCTGTCCCCAGGCTCATTGCCTTCACCTCTGAGCATGTACGTGTTTCAGTTCTTTCCAGGCTTAAGGTCACATTCCATAAAGGCAAGGTGAAAGGAATGATATTTGGAAATACTTTGTCTCCTGAGGTTCTCTTTCCAGAAGATACTTCTTGGGAGGGACAACATGGACAGATTGGTGGAAGGACATAGGGGGTGAAGTCTTTTGTCTTTGAAATTTCAAGGTCCTGAATCTGATCACATCTGCAAAGTCTCTTTTGCCATGTAAGGTGACATATTCTCAGGTTTGCGGAGTCAGGATGTGGATGTCTTTGGGAGGGAGGGCGTTGTTCAGACAACCAAGTCTACTATCCAGGAGAAAACTTTCATTTCTCAATTTCTCCAAGGGTATAAAAACATGAGTGATTTTTTTCCGCAGTTACTATTTTCCTAAAGTGTAGTTGGACCCCTGAATTGTTGTGTTATTTCATTTAGCACAATGCCTATTTCATTTAGCATGATGCCTTCAAAGTCCATTCATGTTGTCCCCCAAACCAAGATTTTCTTCTTTTTTATGGCTGAATATTTGTTGTACATATATATACACCATATTTTCATTATCCATTATAGTCTCAGCCTTAAAGTCCAGATAATCTGCTACCTTGTGGTCTCTGGTTTCTGCATGAGCTTCTGGGGCTCACACTTGATCTAAATTGCTTTAACCTTGTGGAGAAAGCCCAGGTCATATGATCTGAGAATAATTTTGCTGTTTCCTTCTTCCCTGTAGTGAAGATGTAAGTGACCTACACCATTGTATTATCTTCAGGTGTATAACATAATGACTCAGTGCATAACATAATGACTCAGTATGTGTTGTGAAATAATCACTGTGTTAAGTCTATTTAACATCTCATCATCACATATAGTACAATTTTTTTTCTTGTGATGAGAACTTTTAAGACCTACTCTCAACCTATTTCATTTAGCATGATGCCTTCAAAGTCCATTCATGTTGTCTCCCAAACCAAGATTTCCTTCCTTTTTTATGGCTGAATATTTGTTATATATATATATATATATATATATATATATATATATATATATATATATATATACACACACACACACACACACACCATATTTTCATTATCCAGGCTCCCAGTCACAGACCCTTGGGTTATTTTTATATATTAGCTATTGTGAATAATGCTGCAGATATCACTTTAAGATAATGATTTAATTTCCTTTGGATACATACTCAAAATTGGAATTGCTGGATCATATGGTATTTCTATTTTTAACTTTTTGAGAAATTTCCACACTGCTTTTCCATGGTGGCTGTAGCAGTGTGCATTCCCACCATGTGCGTGGTTCTCTCTTTTCTACATCTTCTACCATCTTTTTGATAATAACCATTCTAACAGGTGTGAGGTGGTATCTCACTGTGATCTTGATTTTCATTTCCTTGATGATTGTGAGGTTGGGCACCTTTTCATGAACCTGTTGGCCCTTATGCATTTCTTTGGAATATTGTCTATTCAGATCTTCTGCCCATTTTTTTATCAGGTGGTTTGTTTTGGCTCTTGAGTTCTGTGAGTTCTGTGAGTATACCTTCTTCTCATGAAATTGCAAATTTGGGGTCTACTTCATTTTAAGGGAAAGAAAAGTGATTCATCTATACAAGAATCATTTGATTTTCTCTCTTGTACCTCAATTTACACACATCATTTTGAAAATGAAACATTCGAATAATGAACTTTTTGTAAAGTACCAATTGGTTCTACCTACAAAGTAATTTATAACAGATGAATTATTTTTTAATATATAATACCTTATATGTGACTATTATTTGACCATCTCCAAAATTATTCCAATATACACGAGCTCATTTGATTCTCATGACAACTTGGTGGGTCAGGGAGAATGAGAGTACTACAGAGCACCGGAAGTGCTGTGTCTCTCAGAATACTCTATTCAGACCTCTCAGAGTCCTTGAAAGTGAGCCATGCCTTCTCAAAAAGTGCTTGTTAAATGTACAGATTATATCAATTTCACTTCTGGTGGTACCATCAAAATGTCTCGAGCCCCTGAGGCCTGGTGACCGCATTAGTACAAACTCTGAGGCCTGAGCAGTTAGCACTCTTCCAAGGCACCCCACCTTCTCAGTCCCTACGCTGGAGCTGGACTTCATAATTCATTCCTTGAACATTGGCTGCAAACTTGATAAATAAGATTCACATTATAACAGTTATTTTCTTTCAACTTCCTCTTTATCACCAAAAGTGTGTCCTTTGAAGTTCCAGGTAAGAAGGCAATACTGTGTCTATTTATTTGGGGGCTCTAGATCTTGGGGCCACTCCATCCCACGTATCATTTAGTGTTGTTGCTTCCAGCTTTGGACCAGGCCATATAATACCTTAGCCTTTTTTAAATTTTGCAATTACTTTGTCTCTACCAGCCCCAGAAACAGATCTTCACAGACTGAAAAGAGAAAATTACCAAGTCACGTTACAATTGACATCTTTGCATGTAGCTTTCCTTCCCGAATCCCGTGGCCTGTAGGGAGGAAGGGTGACATCTGCCACTCCTATGTGGTCCCAGTGGGAAGAGGAGACAAATGGCTGAGTAGAAGGTGGGGGAGTTATTGTCTCTTTTTAGGCCCTTTGAGAGTCTTCCCAGGTCCAAGACTTTTGGAGATTCACATGATAGCTTTATAAAACCTTGACATAGGGAGCTCCACATTAATATTAGGTAACTTGAAAAACCCAAACTTGATTTATCAATGAAGAAACTGAGCTCCAGAGGCTCTACTAGCAACTTTGTGGCTGAGTGGCAGGCAGATCCAGTGCCTCAGTTTCTCATCGGCCCCAGCATCAGCTGCTCTGTCAACTGTGGGCTCAGACATTGTGCCTCCTTAGCTAGCTGGCTGCTCTGAGTCCACACATGGCATCTTTTCTCAAATCCTGCTTTCCTGTGTTAGTTATTCTAGTGCTAATATTATTTTCTGATCTATTAAACCAGGTCAAGTCACTGTCCTTCCCTCTAAGTACTTAGTGTGTAACTTGACATGTTTAGAGGTATAGAGATGAAAATGGTATTGAGAAATTTACCATCTTCCAGCATCCAAGCAGAAATGTCACACATTTCTGACAGGAAGGGACAATTTTTGTTTTCTAAATGACCTCTCTCTCTCTCTCTCTCTCTCTCTCTCTCTCTCACACACACACACACACACGCACACAGAGCTACCAATCTCTTTAGTAGCCACCAGCACAAACTAGAACTTTCCCTAGCTGATAAGCTCATAAGGAACTAAAATTCTACTAAAATTCTCTGATCAAATGAAACTGTTTTTTGAAAATTTGAATAAGACTAAATAAAACAAATAATATTACTATGAAGAAAATTATAAATAAATCACTGAGTTGAAATAAGGGAAAGCAATTAAACTCTGAGTAAGGAGTTCAAAGATCATTTCCTCTAAAATATAGTATCAAAAATCTAGAATGGGAAGGGATCTTGAAGATAACCTGGTTCAATACTCATCCTTTGCTGGAATCTCTCATATTTACCAAATCTTCAGTGATAGAAAAGTTTGACAAAAATTAATCTGATGAGTTTTATGTCTTTTTTTGAAAGTAAGTGTAGAGGCAAGTTAAGAGCCTAGCTGAATAATTCACATCTCTTTCTCTGAATCTTTTAACAATCCAAACCATGAGCTTAATTCCAAATTCCCATATTTCCTCCTCTGACACAGCTCCTCCAGAAATAGCTTTATTGAAAGCTAAGCACATCAAGGAAAAATGTCCTTCATATTCCTCACTGAAACTGGGATCTTTTAGGCAAATCACCAGAACTAACCCTTTCCACACACAATTGCTCCTGGGGCACATTTCTTGTACATCTTTCCTGGGACCAGGCCCCAATATTCTCCTAACACCCCTCATGACCTCAGTGCACATCTGAGGTGAGGTGGTTCTCATTATTTATAGCAATAAAATCCCTTACTTATTTATGCATAATTGAAACGTCAGTTGAATCATGTAGCCTATATCTGGATTACTATATTAAAAGTAGAGATATTAACTTATAACGATCTAAAATTTTTCATTTAATACAAAATAAAAAACATGGGCTTCAACATCTCTTACCCTTGACTCAAAATATGATTCAGTCCTAAATAAGCACTGGTTTTTATTAGGGTCTACAATCATTTTTCCAAAATCAGGGTGGGGGAGATGTTCAATAGCTCATTCCCCCGCCATTCAATTGATGAACAACTGATAATGACAAGACTTAATGACGGGGAGACACATCTGAATCCTTAGAGCTTCCAGTGTTTGTTCATGGTGTTGCCTCCAGAAGCCACCTTGGTCTGAAGACCACCATCCACCTGTCCCACGTATGCTCTGCACAGGTCCAGCTCCCTCTGAGCTTTCTCTGGGCACCTGATCTGCAGCTCATCAGCATCCAGGAGGTTGCTGTTTGGATGCTGCTCAGCTCTGATTCATCAACAATAAAATATGGTGCCAAGGATTCAAAAAGATCCTCCACCTGTTGTCTGCCGAGCTCAGAGAGGCACGCCATTCAAACTGTCTTCACTGTTTCTTCCTCACCAGGCAGTATCTATTTTTTTTTTCCTCCCAAGTTCCCTCCTCTCCATATGTCCCTTGCTGCATGTGAATAAGTTATCTCTCTGCTCCCTTTCCTGAAAATATAAACAGACTCCGTTCAGTACCTAATTTTCTTTTTCATGCCTCATGTCACCTCTGTTCCCACATCTTGAAACTTTCTATTTGGGAACATCTTTTTCTCTAAGTGTGCGGCATTAGGTGCAGTGATCAATTATCCTAGGTAATTACTCCTCATTTGAGAATCTCTATTCTTTCTCATTAAAGCCCAAACAAAACTACTTCCTCTCGTTGACCAGGTGCACCAGATCTCTTATCCCCAATTTGCCATTTGGCATTTTAGTGCTTAAGCTCATTCTCTGAGGCGCTTAATTTGAGTAGATTGTGCTTGCTCAGTGAGGCAGCTGCCTCCTCTGTTCTGTGTCCTCACGGCACTGAGACACTTAGCACTATGTCCCCTGACTCCTTCTCTTTGGGGTCACCCAGGGATCTAACTACACAAGAAGGACTTTTTTTTTTTGGCGGGGGAGCCATGCATCTTTACAGACCCAATTAAGCTTTTCCCCAAATTCCCAGGTTTCTTGGTAAAAACTGTCCATTATTTTCTTTCTGCGGTTGTAAAAGGAGACAAATGGCTCTTTCTCGTTACTACTTAGCCACACTGGGTTTTCTAAATGTCTCTATTCAGTAACTTGATTTTCAGTTTATGTTATCTGTTGCCATTATGTCTTCTTGCTTATTAGACACACCTCCTAAAAATATGTGTTATCAGTTCCTCTGCTGCATACTTAAGAATTCAAATGAATCAAAAGTGGGCTTTTGAAGAGAGTACACTCTAGTACTCTCGCTGGAATGGCCTATGGAACCATGACTTAAAATTCCAGTCAGCAACCCTTTGGAGATGTAAATTGAGGTAGCAGAACTCCTTTTGGACAGCTTAATGATCTGTAGTTAATAGTAAGAGGCTGCTGGGCAGATGCAGTACAGCTGGGTTTAGGTTAGCTTTTCTCAGCTTTCCAAATTGTACAGTGATTACAGCCATTGAGATTCTGAATCCTGCCTGAATCAATAACCAAAAGCAGCAACAAAGAATTGGCAGTGGCTTGTCAGTGTGACCTTTCAGCACATGCTCTTCGTCCAAGCCAGGGACCAATGCCTCCTTCCCAAGCCCACCCCAGGCTGGGCACAACAAATCGTCCTTCTAACAATTTTGGGATGAAGATTGCTGGATTTAAGTCAAAATTCTCTTACTTGAGTGTACACAATTTCACTGAACTGGAGAGGAAATGTGGGCCTCCTCTTAGTAGCAAAATATAAATCTAGAAGCCACAAGATGCCCCGCTGCTGAAAGAGTTGCTGTATTCTTATGCCTGTCTGTAAGATTGACTTGGATTACTGAGTGCTAGGGAACAGGTCCATCTACAATTTCCAGGGTCTTGTTATCCTCACTCAAAAGCCCAAGTGAGTTAAAAAAAAAAAATGGACCAAGAACTTGTAGAGATATTTATCCAAAGAAGATGTGCAAAGGGTCAATAAACCCATAAAAAGATGCTTGATGTCACTAGTCATTAGGGAAACACAAAGCAAAACCATAAAGAGGTATTATCCCCATTAGAATGACTATTGTCAAAAAACGAACATAACAAGTGTTGGCAAGGATGTGGGAAAATTAGAACCTTTGAGCACCACTGGTGGGAAAGTAAAATGGTGTTGCTGCTGTAGAAAACAGCATGGTAATCCCTCAAAAGTAGAAGAATCATATGATCCAGCAATTCTACTTTGGGGTATTTACCCAAAAGAATGAAAAGCCAGGCTCAATATATTTTTCAAGTATTCAGTTCTTTCCTTGAAGAGCGGAGTGTACACCCTTGTTCAGAGCATCATTATCCACACTGGTCAAAAGGCTGAAGAGTCCATGTCCAATGATGCTAAACAGAAAAACAATATGTGATCTATATACACAATGAATATGATTCAGTACTAACAAGGAAGAAAATTCTAACACATGCCACAATAGAGTTGTGACAACAGCTTGCTAAGTGAAATAAGTCAGCACAAAAGGTCAGTTAACGTCTGTTTCTACATGAGTCTGTTCAGATTCAGAGATAAACATAGAATGTGGTCACCAGAGGCTGTTGGAGGGAAAATGGGAAGTTGTCATTTAATGGGTCTAGAGTTTCGGTTTTACAAGATGAAAAGATCTCTGTGGGTGGGTGATGGTGACAATTATACAGCAGTGTGGACTTCAGGCTTTGCAGGGACAGATAAGAAATACAGTGGTCCCTTTCTCTGCAAGGGATACTTTCCAGAAGTCTCAGGGGCTGCCTGAAGAAGCAGGGAGTTCCAAAACTTGTATATACTATATTGTTTGCCTAGGCATCCGTATCTCTGATAAAGCTTAATTAATAAATTAGGCACAATGAGAGGTTAAAAACAACAACTGATAATAAAGTAGAACAATTACAACAAATAATATACCACAAGGAAGGTTATATGAATGTGGTCTCTCAAAATATCTTAAAATCTTAAGTCTACTTCAAGTTTTTGGATCATGTTGACTGCAGGTAACTGAAACTATTGAAATGAAACCTCAGATTAAGAGGGGTGACTGTAGAAAGGGAAAAGAAAAAAAACAGTGAGGGAATGGTTCTTGACTTTGTATACAAATATGCTTTTTTTTCAGAGTCATTTTTCACTCAAGAAGGGCGCTGCAGCCTTGGGGATTGGAACAGACAGCGTGATCCTGATTAAGTGTGATGAGAGGTGAGCATGAATCTGCAACCCTTTGGGTTAAAAATTTGTAAATTGCACTCATGTACATCAGTCCCCAAACAGCCAACGAAGGTGGAGCAAGCTTGCTTCTATTCTACCCCAGCCATGGCTGTTTGCTGTATGCTTGGAGTCCTGGGATGTTGTTGCTCAATGCCATGAAGACTTTAACAACCCTTGATTGGATCAGAACCTTTGTTGAATCAATCAAAATATTCTGCACCAAGAAGGTACAGAAAAACATTCATCACCTGGGTACTTTAAGCTACAAAGAGTAATTTGAGCAGTGGTTTATAGAGGTGCTATCAGTTGAGGCACCATGGATTGTGTGAACTTGAGGGAGTGAATGCAGAAAGGGGCAGTTTAGTGAGCAGAAAGTGAATGATACCCCCGAAACTCATAAGCTTTATGATGGAAGCTTGGAGGGGAAATCGCGTCTTAACTAGCGCACAAACCTCCTAAGTATCCTGGGAATCATTGCAGGGGAGAGTGAAAAACAGGATATTCATGTAAATGATCACTACCTATAGTCCTGCAATCTCTTGAAAAAATAAATGCAGTCTTTAAGAGATTAAGAACTTTCCCTAAATTAAAGGAAAGCCCCTCTAGTAACCATTTATTTATTCACATGTATAATGAGACAGATATTTATGATTGCCCATCATGTCACTAAACTCTAGAAAACCAAAAGGCACGATCTCAGCCCCCCCACAATGCGTGACATGGGTGAGGAGGTGTAGCACCAGGAGGAGGCAGTTATATGGTTGAATTGTGTGGCACAGGTTTGAGACATCAGTAAGGCTTGAGAGGCTCCATGCAGTAGGAGGGGACTTGAGCTGGGTTTTTTAAATTGGAGATGAGTTAGGTGGGTGGAGGGTAGGGGCACCTGCAAAACATTGAACTGAAGTCATAGAAATGGGAATGAACTTATAGGACTGGAGGAACTAGAACTGACCAGAAGTGGCTGGTCAGATACATGTAGGGGGGTGAGTGGGAAGCAGAAAGGTCCACTATGGCAGATAAAGTTGGGGTTTTGAATACTCAAAAAATCAAAGTGGGGCCTCCCCGGTGGCGCAGCGGTTGAGCGCTGGGTTGCGAAGCTGCCCGCGGCCTATGCGGCGCCGGTTCGATCCCCTGCTGCTCCCCGGCCACCAGAGGAGGGTCCCACATGGCACGCAGACCTCTCCTGCCGCCCGCTGCTCCCCTCAGCAGTGTATTTCGGTCCTTCTGCCTGCTCTGCTCCCTGCTCTGGCTCTGGTGAATTCTCTCACCCTCCCATGCTTCTGACTGTACCCAGTGTATGTATAAACAAAACAAACAAATAAATAAATAAAAAAAAAAACAAAAAAACATGCCTCTATTAAAAAAAAAAAAAAAAAATCAAAGTGATTAATTGTCACATCTCTCTCCGAGTGGCAAAAATACAAGAGCTTGCCACTTCTTATCAACACCTTTATATGCAGGTTTTGTGTGATTGCTTGCTGTGAACACATTACTTTTACTTTCAGGGGGCAGGGGTGGGGTTGATGTTTTGTTTTTCCTTTGGGAAAAAGAAAAGCTAAACTTAGCATTAGCATCTGATGGGCCTAGAAACAGGATAACTTGAAAGCATCTTTATCCAAGAAGGACATCAATGAAACCACCCTTGGCAGCAAGAGAGGGACTTCCATCAGTGAGGCCAGGTGAGAGGCTCTAGCTGTGAGAACAGCATGAAATGATAAACAACCAGAGTGAGGCAAACATTTTCAAAAAGGAACTGCTTTAGGGCCTCCCTGGTGGCGCACTGGTTGAGAGCTGGGCTGCGAATCTTCTGCAGTGCAGGTTCGATCCCTGGCCCCCGGGGCGAGGGTCCCACATGGTGCACAGACCTCTCCTGCTGCCCACTGCTCCCCTCAGCAGTGTGCTTCGGTCCTTCTGCCTGTTCTGCTCCCCGCTCTGGCTCTGGTGAATTCTCTCACCCTCCCACGCTTCTGACTGTACCCAGTGCTTGTATAAATAAATAAATAAATCTTTAAAAAAAAAAAAAAAAAAAAAAAGGAACTGCTTTATATTTTTAAGGCTACCAGTGTTCCTTGCTCTCAGGTAGTGAATTTGAGGCAAAATTTGGTAGAAAAAAAAATGCTAACGGGGAATAAAGGCTTAAATGACTTCAAAAGTTTTCTTAGCACTTATACACAAGGAGTCTAGAATTTAGGGAAGAATCATCTAGATAGAGCGCGGTTTTCCAACCTAGACAAGCCTTCCTTATTAGCTTAGTTTGTAGGTGTTCTTGAGTTGAATCCCAGAAGGCTCCAGTCCGTGGAACATCAATCTTGCTGCTTCTACTCCTGGGAAAACCAGTTGAAGATAATTGACGTGGCCTCAGGATGAGTCCACTGAGACAGACAGCCACCTAGTCGTGGGGACACTAGGCTGATCTAAGGATTCCAAAGAGAAGTGCAGGCTTGGAGTAAGGAAGAGCAAGAAGGAAAAGCATAAGAGTTGCAAGGAAAGTGACCCCAGCAGACATGTAGGAAGGAGACTCAGAAGTCCCTTCACTCACCAACAGCAGAGAAGGAGCCAAAAGCTAAGAATGCTAGAACAGCAGTGGGCCCTCAAAGAGGGCTTAAGCTCAAAGAGTTTTATTCCACTAATTTTAGAAGTCATAAGTAAAACAAAAACATAATGCTAAGAACTGTTGTTTCAGAAAAGACCTCACTATCTGCTCCTCCGCACTGGGAGGAAGCACTTTAGTGCTTCCTGAAAAAAGGAGGGAAAAGGATAAGAAATAAAGGGTAGGAGAAACAAGGCCCAGGAGAAAAAAAATTGCGTAAAGTGTGTGGCAAAGCAGGGGAGAGGGAAAAGTAGAGGGAAAAATAGGTGGGAGCAGAAATCACAGAGTTTGAAAAAGGAATCAGTTACCATTTTTACCATCTACAAAGCAATAGAAGCTTACTTTTAAAATAATAGAAAATTACGGAGAAACTCACAGTTCATCCAAAGATCGTCACTAATAACATCTAAGTGTTTAAACCTATGAATCTCTTTTTCTAAGCATAGAGGTTTGTTCTTTTTTAATCTTTTTTTCCTTTACACATTTGTGACCATGTTTCCTTTTCTAACTAGACATGGAACATAAATATTTTTCCACATGAATACAAATAACACGCTTAACTACATAATACCTGAGGTCTGACTAAGTCAGAAAGTGTGACAGTACTTTGCAGAGCTGGCCTATTTGAATTCAGATCTCAGCTCCAGCACTAACTTGAACAACTATCTCTCCATCCCTCAGTTTCTTTGAAAAAAGAGACCAACTCATGGCCTCTGCTTCATAGGATTGTCAGTAAGTTGAAATGTGCTGACAAATGAAATATGTAAAATGCTAAAAATGATAGCTAGAACAAAGCAAGAACAAAATGTTAGTTCCCTACTGTTCCCTGCTAGTCCCTGTTGTGGGTGTTGCTGTTATAAATAATCTTTCCATCCTTCAGTGAATGTCCTCATGTGTCCAGGGCTTGTCCATTTCTGGTTATATCTTAGTACAATTGCTAACTAAACTATCGGAACATTCTTAGGGAAAGTAATATATCAGGCTAAGTTGCCTGTTAAAGGGTTTCACCAGTTTATTCTAGCAGTAGTATATGTGAGTATGCTAGGGAGATGAAGCAGTATAAGTCATTACCTGCATCTATATTCATAACTCACATCATCTGTATGACTTGAGTTAAAGATGGAGAGTCTGGCCTAATGAATTCAATGAAATTGAAATGGTGAGGTCAAGCACCCAGGAGAAGTCATATCTACCCACCATTCCAGCCAGAATCAGTTCAAACACTCTTGGCAGCCATATTGATTTTATGATCACATCCTCGTTAAAGTCAGGTGTGCAGTTCAGAAAAACACTTGAGACTAACAAAGGGCACATCTACGTACTTGTTTCTCATAATCAGCTTTACAAATTCTTCCTTTACTTAGCAAAACCACCTCAAGTTTCATCCATGTCATCTAAAAGGTAGTATTTTATCTTTAACCATAACCTCCTTTCTCATTTCAAATGTTAATGTTTTCTCAGTTTTTTGTTGGACTAATCAGATATCTATATATTTGCTGATCTTTTCCATTTGCCAACTTTTGGATTTATTATCAACTTTATAAAGTTTTTAATTCATTGAAAAGTTCACTCGTTCTTTCTGCCTACATTGTTGTTTCCTTAGCTTCTTAGGTTAAATATTTAATTTGGTTATTTTTATTCTGCTGTTTAATTTTAAGAGCATTTCAAGCTATCTGCTCTCCTATGAGAATGATTTAAGATGCTTTTCATAGTTTTATATGTAGTATTCCCATGTCATTAATTTTTAATGTTCTTTAATTACAGTTTAGATTTCCTCCTTGACTCAAAAGTTATTTAGAATAGCCAAGCATGATTTCTTGCATGGTAAATTGAACTACTTATCGTAATCCTTTTCTTCTCTCTAAAACCATGTTCAGGCAATGGGGATGGTAGCTCGGGGAGGAAGAAGATTGTCAGTATACCTTGTTTCTCTGTATGCTGTAGGACCAAGAACTATCAAAACTACCCAACTATTGAAAGATGATAGAGCAATATATCTTAGTAGGAGGTTGTATGTTTCCAGAAAACCATAGTAGAAGCACTAGATACATCATTATGACTCTATAATTTAGCTTGAAAAGTGTCTTGCTAAGTCAAGGTAGGAGGCATTTCATTTAAGCATCATGAGTATTTTTGGAAGCCATTGCTGTGCAGTGCTAAAATCCTGGGTTCTGATGTCAGGCAGTGCTAGGTTTGAAATATTGACCCTCCTGACTCTGACATACTGCAAGTCACATAATGCCAGTACAACTGCTCCTTGAACCTCAAGGGTTGGGACTGTGTAGACCCACTTATATGAAGATCTTTTTCTATCCTTGGGTTGGACATTCACCAATTCAGTCATCCATGGGTGATGGTTGGTTTAATCTACTGATGAGGAACCCGTGGATACTATGCTGTAGAATAAGTCATCCCTGGATTTTTAACTGGGGGAAGGAGGCCTGGTGCCCCTAACTCCCTCATTGTTCAAAGGTAAACTGTATTGCTACTTATAATAATAATGACGAGATTGTTTAATGTGCATTGTTTACTGTATGCAAGGCAGGTTTCTACTTAGTGCTTTATAATGTTTTATACCTATCGTCTCATTTCATCTTCCTATAATTTGTGAGGCAGGTGCTATTGTCATCATTCTATAAATGAGTAGAAGGAAGATCTGGGGCAGAAACCCAGCTATTCAGTTTCCACATTTGAAGCTCTTAGCCATATTCAGCTGCCTCTTGAAACTTAATTTCCTTTCTGCAAAGTGAGACCAATAATAACTCACCTGTCAGGTTGGTGTGAGCAGCAGAGAACATGAGGGAAGGCACAGACCTCTTCTAAAACAGGTAACTCGTTTTGCTGCTGATGTGTTGCTGTCAATAGTGGTCCCGACATTTGTCAATTTCTAACAGAAAGATTCATGCATCTTTTCTCTGGACACATCTCCGTGAACAGAGCCAAGCTCTGCTCACTTAAACAGTCCGGGAGAATTATCCCAGTTTCAGCTCCACCCAGGAGCAGGGTCATGGGTAACTTAAGCACCCAATATGTGACTGTTTAGATGCCCACCGAGAGGTACCCACTCTCCTGCACATGCTGCCTTTGGTAAGTTAGTTGTCTCCTTCAGAGCCATAGGAAGGTAACCACGAATCTGGGTCAAGCCCCATTCATGGTATAATGTGTCTTTTTTTTTTTTAATTATTTATTTATTTTTTTAAAGATTTATTTATTCATACAAGCACTGGGTACAGTCAGAAGCACGGGAGGGTGAGAGAATTCACCAGAGCCAGAGCAGAGAGCAGAACAGGCAGAGTGACGAAGTACACTGCTGAGGGGAGCAGCAGGCAGTAGGAGAGGTCTGCGCGCCATGTGGGACCCGGTGGCCGGGGATCGAACCGGTGCTGCAGAGGCTGCGGGCAGCTTCACAACCCAGCGCTCAACCACTGCGCCACCAGGGGAAGCCCTGTGTCTTTTTCTTCTTCCCTCAAAAAGATGTTTCCTGCTCAAAGTGGCATTACATGATTTTTTCCCCTGGGTACTTTATCAATTTATCTGACCTGACAGCATCATATGAACTTTTTGAGGCTATTGCTGACTGAAATCTCAGTACAAAAAAGCCACATCCAAAGCAGTAGTCCTTGCTTGCATCATCCTGTTCTAAACCTAACAACTACCAAAAAACAGCATTACAAAGCATCCATCTTACTTCATTGTGAACCTAAAGCCTGGATTGTAAACATTAAAAATACACATTTTTGCTATAGCAATACTTTTAGACCAGGCATAGCAGATACAACAGCTGCACCAGGAGATGCTTGAGTGGAATGACTGGCCTGGCCAGACAACTTGTAATCCTCAGAGCTGCCAGCTGGTTGTCACCCGATGTTCTGTCACTTCCCAGCACATGGGCTGGCAGAGGAAACTCAACGCCGCATCTGGAGCACCTTCTGCTCACAAGGTGCTTCCCTCAACCATGAGGGCCCCAAACCATGGGTCATATGAAAAGTACTTGGCTAGAACATTACACAGTTACTTAATTGCCTATCAGGGAAAATTCCCATTTCTCAAGTAATGTTGCCCAGTAAGTGGACCTAAGGCTACCTGCTCAAGAATCACTTTGGGGGCATGTTAGGAATGCAGGTTCTGTCATATGTTTGTCTATTTACTATGTTATAGTTTGTTTTCTTTGCTAACATGTAAGTCCTGGAGAGTCAAAACTGTTCAGTTTAACTGATACCCCAGCACCCCTAACAGTGTTTGACATATTTAAATATTTGAATGTGTCAAATATTTGAATGAATTCATTTCTGGGTATCACTATCACTGACAGACTGAATCAAAATCTCTAAGAGCAGAGGCAAGAAATCTGCATTTTAAAGACACTTAGAGTAAATTTTAAGAACAACTTTTCTAAAGTAATTCAGCCATTTCTAACATCAATAAAAGATGAAATATGTCTCCAGAGGCCCCCATTCTAGCTGTCTGGTCAGATGTGAAGGTAAAGTGAGCATATTAATATTTCCTTGGGTTAAAATTTTGCCTTCTAGTCAAAAGGCTCCAACAAGTAAAGATTCATCAGCCACGTCTCACGTGCCCGGCTCCGGGCAGCTCCAGCCAGGCCACCCATACCCTTCCAGGCAGAGTTCAGCTGTAGTAGACCAGTAAGAGCTGGAATTTCCAAACAATTTCTAAGGCTTCTTTCTCTCAATCTCCTGGTTTACCTACAAAAATACTATGGCAATGTTAATGTGTTCAAAAGTGTATGTAAAAGATAAAGGCAATTCCTAAATCCCTCGGAAAGTTGAACACTTTGCTTGTATCCAGGCGGGTGAAGGTGTTTTAGCAAAATCTGATCTCTGGGAGGCTGAACAGCGCTGACGGATGCCCTGGGGCTAAGCTGTGACGTAAAGGGAGAAATGAAGGGGAGCAGACACCTGACAGAGCTAATTGCCCCTGCCCGCTCTGACACCCTGACTCTTTGCCCCTCTGTCCTTCCTCTAGAGCCCCCACCTCACAGAGGTTCCCCCAAGGTGGGCTGCCCTGGTGGAACCATACTAAATGTGCATTTAATGCTCCTGTTGCCTTCTAACCTGACTCACTAATCACTGGTAACCTGTTCATTACTGTTGCTCAGGTAATTGCATTTTAACTGCCTTTCTTTGGAAAACAGGTTCACATCAATCAGTGTTCTCAGTGTTCAGAGGCCTAATGTCTACTTTATAGTCCTACTGTTTTACAACACCCCCTTTATTAGCCTGAAATGAAAATTGCAGAAAATGCTACTTAACTACTCACTATATTAATTTACAATAAAATTACATAGTTCAGCAAGAACTTAGGCAAGGCAATACAAAAAGATGTAATGAAGTAACCCAGTACTTGTTCTATATGCAAAATCATAGGGACAGCCACAGATGAATGATTGAGCCAGCAACAGCAGATGCCAGAACCTGCTCCCTAGTCACCAAATGCCAGTAGCATGCAGTGTATATCTATAGTGGCAATCTCCTCCCCATAATTTTTTTTCAAAATGTTTTATAAATACCTGGATCAATGACCTTGATGTGAAAATTAGGTCAGACAGATGGATAAAAGCCAATTTAGTGACCTCAAGACAGAGATTTTGCAACTACAGGTATGGATAGGTTCTGAGAAATGAATTGTTAGGTGATTTACTCAATGTGTAGATGTCACAGGGTATAATTCCACAAGCCTAGAGGGTAGAGCCTACTACCTCCCAAGGTGTAAAGCATAGCCTGTTGGGACCGCCATCATATATGCAATCACTTGTTGACAGATGCATGACTATACTCTGTCTTTGGCCCATTTTTTTATCCCAAAGAGGTAGGAGAGGAATGTTACCATGTACAATAATCTCAACTATAGAAGCTAACAATTATTGGATGCCTCCCATATGCCAAGTACTTTTAAAACAGTTTTGCATGTATTAATAAATTTAATACCTCAAACTCCATAAAGGAGCTCCATCACCAGTTTCTAAGCATTATAGGCACAAGGAAATTAAGTAAGATCACACATCTCACCTTACCTAGCTGCTTGTAGAAATCAAGAGTGTCCTCTGATGGGTATAATTGTGGGCTTCTAGTGCAAGCAAAGCACTGCCTGGGTTTTTACTTTAGGAAAGAAACATTTTGAAGATGAAAGAATGAGTCTCTCTTCAGTGCTTGTCTAACTGTTTGAAATTTGAGCCCTTGAACAAAGCCATCTGCTTTGTTCTTTTAGCACTTGAAATGTAATTAGGTAGCTCTTTTACTTAATATTTCCACTCAAATGTTTTTGGACTGGTTTTTTTTTCTTCCTGGCATTTGTCTAGATGTGAAATTATAGGTCCATTTATGAGAAGATTTGCAATACAAATGTTTTTCTATATGTTGTTCGTTATTAAGTTTTACTCCAATGCAGAGTTGTTTTATTTATTTTGTTTTTATTATTTTATATTTTTTTACATCATTCTTTATTTTTATACAGTATATGCTTTATCATGTCGGTTATAGTCCTGGTGGAATTCCCACCACCAGTTCACCCATGTACCCTCACCATTGTCCCTTGTGCTCTCCCCACACCTGTTTTGATCCAACTCCCTTCCCTCCCCACCCCCCCACAAAATGTCTCTGGTTTACAGTTACCTGTGGATTTTGATTTTATTATAATGCTTTTTTTCCTGATCCCTAATTTGGATCCCCTACATTCCTCCTATAAGTGAAACCATCCGCTGTTTTTCTTTTTCTTTCTGGCAAAGCAAACTTGTTTTAACCAAATGAAGAGGATGACCAAAAAAGATAATTGTATGTAGTGGGGGGCCTGTGCCTTTTCTACAGAGTGTGGTCGGGAGTTTCCTGAAAGAATCAGAAATTGCACTTATGCTTCTTCCAGGGATGGCATTTCTTTCTGGAAATGCCAAGGAAGTTGTTTGAACTGATCATTATTATCAACAATTTACCTTAATAGTGTGGTCACTTATAAAAATAATGAAGTAAATCATAAGAAAATCTACAATGCATTTATTTTTCCTTTTAGGGGAAAAATGATCCCATCTGATCTTGAAAGAAGGATCCTTGAAGTCAAACAAAAAGTAAGTTTTTGTAGGAAACTCTATCCAGCCCATCACAGGTTAAGATTATACATTTCTATCTCAACCAGTGAAGACAGGCTTTGGTTTTATTTTAAGGAGAGGATCCAAGCCTCAATCTCCCAGCTCTAGTGAGAATATAGAATTTTGCAGCCACTTATTATTTATTTTCCCAAATGTAGACACTTACTGCATAAATATATCCACAGTGATACTATAAGTTCCCACAGCATTTGTCTTCCTATGTGCTGAAGGTTGGTGTGAATCAGACACATATTTGGAAAATCATTTTCACAAGTGGAAAATAGAAACTAACACAGCATGTGAGTTACTACTGTACAGTTATCTGAAAAGTGTCAGTTTTTCCTGCCTAGGCACATACTGATCCAATTGATTCCCCAAATATTTAGAACTCTTTTTAGAATTACCAGGTTCTGAAGGCCTGCTGAAGATTCCCACAAAACTTGCCTATTTGTATCCTGGGATGATTTGCAAATCAGAGAACTTGTTTTGGGAACTCTCTCATTACAACTTTTAGCAGTTATAATCAACAATGCCTAGTTTAATGACATAACACATGTAATTTATTACGATGAACTTAAATAGTTTATCTCTATCTGCCTTTTTTCCTACAAAGTGGCAGCAGGGGGGTTCCCTGGTTCTTTTTGTTTAGGTTTTTTTTTTTAATTGAAGGAACGTTTATTTAAAATATTATATAGTTTTCAGATGTACAGCATTATAATTCAACATCTGTGCATACTACACTAAGATCACCACCAAAAGGCTCCTTTCCATGCACCATCCCACACTTGTTCTTGTATTAGAAGTATCAATACTTCCAAGGAAGGTAAAACCATACGACTAAACCTTTGCTGCCACCTACAGGCTGATACTGTAACATCATGTCCCAGAAACTAACAGGATGGTCTTGGAGTGTGTTTATCTGCTTCCTTTCAGCAGCTGCCTATTATTTCCATCAATTTTCATTTAGCCAAGGTCAGACAGATGGATAAAAGCCATGATTTAATGTTTTGATCCATGTGAAGCCTCTTCTCTAAAGATCCAAATAGATTATCTGAGATTTTCTGAATAGGAATAATGGATTGGTCAGAGTTTCTTCTGTTATTCTCGTGGCAGTCCAGTCTAGGGGATTTAGTAAGCTTGGAGGTCCCGTTATCAAAAGGGGAGACTAGACAGTAAACAAAGGGCAGAAAGGACAGACAGTCTACCTGGAAAATAGGACTGATTGAGGGCACCAGAAGATCAATCCTATTTGGGTACAGTGTAAGCTCCTGGGAGAACCAGAATGTCTGTTCTCATTAAGATAAAGGGGCAGATCTGACATACCGACTCAGATCTCATATGCCAGAGAGTGGACGTTGTTCCTACCAGGCTCCGAAGTGTCACTAACCCTTCTGACAATTGAAGAAACACAGATGTATCTGTAGGGGGAGAATTTCCTGTTTTATCAGCTTTTTGAAAGAATCCTTGAACCCATTTTGCTTTCTGATTTGCATAGGGATTTGTTCCTTTCCTTGTAAGTGCCACAGCTGGGACCACCGTGTATGGAGCCTTTGATCCCCTCTTAGCTGTCGCTGACATTTGCAAAAAGTATAAGATCTGGATGCATGTGGATGTAAGTATGCTATAAGGACTGCCACTAAATGTCCTTGCACAAGTTTTACCCATGGACAATGGGATGAAATCTCTCTCTCTCTCTCTCTCTCTCTCTCTCTCTCCTTCTCTGCCTCTTACTCTCTCTCCTCCCTCCTCCCCCCTTTAGGAGCTTCTTTCTATTTATACTTTTACAAAGAACAAATAGCACACACTCACAGCATACAACATTGACTGGAAGCAATCTGAGGCTGATTATGCCTTCATGTTTCCAACAGGATATTATTTTTATTTCTAAGACCAGTACCCATGCTGAGTACTTAATACTCAATTCACTGAGCCCTTGGAGGAATAGAGCCTCCATGCACAGACCAGTCACACACATACAGATCTGACTTCCCTACAAGAATGATCAAAAGGGTAAAAAAGAATTATGTTCATCAAAGGACTATGGTGATGGTGCACAGGTGAATTGGCGGTAGAAATTCTTTGGGGACTACATCTGAGAAAAGAAAGCAAACATTATAAGAAAAAATAAATAAATAAATAAATAAATTTTAAATAAATAAATGAAGTAAATTTTAAAATAGTATCTGAAAACGCCAAAAAAATTTAAAAATTAAAATAAAGGCCCACTGATAGGAGACGGGCTTAAGAAGATGTGATATATGCATGCTATGCAATAGGATTCAGATGAAATGCTGCCTGCCATTGACAGCAAAACTGGGGGCATTTGAGGGAATTATATGTAGTAAAGCAAGCCAGCGTGACAGAGACAAATACTGGATGTTTACATGGTAGACAATTTGACAGAGTAACTACTTATAAAAACTACTGGACATTAATAAATGAAGTGAGGTTTCTAAAGTTAAGAGGGAGGAAGAAAAAGGGTCAAAGGAATATAAGAAATGGGAGGGGGTGTCAGCTAGCTCTCTAAAATAAAATAACACCACAAAAATAATTTAAAAACCCACAAGACTTCAAAAAAACAACTCAGCTATTTCATGCCTTTCTTATGTTACTTTACATCAAATGCTTGTCACCTATTTCTTTGGAAAAGTCTAACACCATAATATTTTTTCATGTGTTACATTTCTAATGTTTGATAAAAATGTGTTCCATTTTCAAGAAGAAAAAAGGAACTGTATTCATACAGAAAACCTTGAGGGTGAAAAAAAAAAAAGCCAACTCAAGGCAGGAGTTGTATATTTGAAGAGAAAAGCAGGATGACAACTTGCTAGAAAATATGGACCAATCCCTAAGCATAGTCAGCTAAGAAGATAAATTATATTTGGGATATGTTGACTCTAAGCCCAGTCACATTAGAAAATTACAAAGTATGCCAACTAAAGCATTTTTCAAAGGGAAAAATATGTCCGTTTCCAAAAGGGTAATTGAAGGGATTCAAGCTTAGACTTTAGTATTAGTATTAGTTAATTTGTTATTGCTCAAATTTAGTATTACTCGAGGTGGGACTCAGAGATGAGCTGCCTTTTGCAAACTGTTTGTTAATAATCCATGAGAGAAGGAGTTAGTGCCAAATCATCACTCAGTCCAATGTTTGCTTCAACTGACTTTTTGTTCCCTTGCAAGACTTTCCCAATAAAGGAAGCTACAAGTTGATTTACATTCTGGCGCAAGATCCTTATGCTGCTGAGTAGCACTGGTTTGCATCATTTTGGCTATAGAATAAGTATTCAGACCAAACTAATTCCCCTTTCTTTAGGAGACAAACACATCCACAGCCTAAGCTAGGTAAATCTCCATTATTCCACAATTCTCCTGCCTAGCAATTACCAATCTTCTTTTCCATCCCTGAGTCACAATATGAGGTGTTCATTAGGCTACCAGGAGCTCTTTCATTTTACACATGAAGACACCAAGAGAAGCTTGAAAAACTCAAGTACCATAAGTGAGCTGAGTCTTACATCTGGAGAGCCTGTTAAACCTTGCTGGCTGACACAGAGAGGATCACCATGACAACTTTAAAAATAAGAATGTCTGTATGTTTTGAGCCAGCAGATGCTTTCTACTTAAATTAGAGCCAGGGGTCCTTTTAACAAATGCCTTTAACTTTTTTTGTTTGTGTGTTTGTTTGTTTTAAGATTTATTTATTCATGCATACAAGAACTGGGGTACAGGCCAGAGGTGCAGGGGGTGAGAGGATTCACCAGAGACAGAGCAGGGAACAGAACAGGCAGACTGACTGAAATACGCTGCTGAGGGGAGCAGCAGAAGAGACAGAAGAGGTCTGCTGTGCCATGTGGTTAGCTCTCTTGCTGGCTAGGGATTAAACTCCTGCTACAGAGGCTGTGGATAGCTTCACAGTGCTGTGCTTAACCCCTTGCGCCACCAGGGAGGCCCAGCTTTCTTCGAAACATATCAAAGTTATCATTTACTGTTGCTATCATTAATGTTTTATATCTATAATATAATATATATAAACATATATAACATTCCAAAAAATTACCAAAAAACTGAAATATTACATATTAATATTATATAGTATCAATATTACATAGTATTAATATTAATTAATATGTAATATTTAATAATTTTTCAAGGTATAAAAGAATGGAATTTACAACAAAGAGAAAAAGCAATTCTATCCTCACAAGATTTTTTTATATAAAATTATCCCAGGGATTATATTTTCACACAAAGTATGTTGGCATTTCAAATGAATCTCCATCTTGACATTCTGTTTTTAAGGAAGATGTTACATGGTGATGGGTGAGGGGAGGGATCTTTCTCTTTCTTGTGCAGACTGAGGAAATGTGCCCTGAATTTGACTCTTTACACTCACATAAAGTGGCGTGGAGCCAAAGACCTCAGAAAGCCCCCCACAACTTGAGTTTTGAAAGTCTAGTGCCAGAGGAAGGTAGGTCACCCCTTAAGTTGCCTGGGATTGAAGAGACTCTCTCATGATTCTAGAAGACTCCAAGCTAGAAATCTAAGCAAACTTGTCTGATCTTCCCTTTTCAGGCAGCCTGGGGTGGAGGATTACTGATGTCCCGGAAACACAAGTGGAAATTGAGCGGCGTGGAGAGGTATGTACATTTTTCTCTTTAACAATGTAAAGTGTAAAAAGCTAAATGTGAAGAGCAAATTACACCCAATTTCCAAGAACTCATGGAATACAGGTGAGCCCACCGTGCAACACTTGTATGCCTTGCCTTGTGTGGCATGTGCTCACAAATATTATATGTAAATAACTAAAGGAAATCAAAGCTCCAGGTAGACTGCCTCAAACACTGAGGTTCCTAACTAAGGCCCGTGGTTCACTGGCGGACTCAGGAGCGAGCTTCCTGGATCTCTGAACTAACTAGCAAAATTCTTAGAAACCTGCAGACAGTCCACAGTTTTCTAGGGAGAAGATCTCTAATTCAGTGTTGAAAGTGAGGGTTTGAGGGGTCTCCCCGGTGGCGCAGCGGTTGAGCGCTGGGTTGCGAGGCTGCCAGCGGCCTCTGCGGCGCCGGTTCGATCCCCGGCTGCTCCCCGGCACCGGAGGAGGGTCCCACATGGCACGCAGACCTCTCCTGCCGCCCGCTGCTCCCCTCAGCAGTGTACTCCGGTCCTTCTGCCTGCTCTGCTCCCCGCTCTGGCTCTGGTGAATTCTCTCACCCTCCCGCGCTTCTGACTGTACCCAGTGCTTGCATAAACAAACAAACAAACAAATAAATAAATAATGCATGCCTCTTAATAAAAAAAAGAAAGTGAGGGTTTGAAATTTAATAAGGCCAGTTGACTTAAAGCAGGACATCCTTGTGAGGGTAGCACCTGACGGTGTCATGTCCAGAACAATTTTCTCCTGACAAGGCCCTGACTGATGCTGCAAAGCAACCATTTGTTTTTCAGAGACTAAGCAGTAGAACGTTGAGAAAGTTGTAAAACACACCAGAGGTAATAGTTGATCATCAGGCATATTCAGATCTTAAGAAAAAAAAAAACAAAATACAAAATGCACAATCAGCCTTGGGTTTTGGTTCTGGACCATGTGCAAAGGGAGCCCAGAGTTCCCGTTCTCCTGTCATGATGTGGAAGGTCAACCATAGTTGTTAACTCTGACATGCCAGGCAATGGGAAACACCCAAATTCATCAGAGGCTGCCAAATACCCACCATACCCTGCCAAGTAGCCAGATGCTGCCCAGGAAAACTTTCCTACTCATTCTACTCCTGGATATCTTGGCACAATCATTTCTGTTTCAGGATGAGGAGAGAGGCTTTTGGAGTCTGGGAAAGTTGTTGATGCTGGTCACTAGGGGCAACCTAGCTAGGATGAAGATTGTGCCGGGAAATGCTGGACCCCAGGAGAGTAGAAAGATGGGAGTGGGGTTATATATGCTGAGTCCAGGGCACCCTGCCTCATTGATGGGAGCCCGGGATGGACCCATATCAGCAGGACCCGTGTCATTGCTGTCCCTGAGGCTCTGCCCAAGTTTAGGTGAGTGGATGAGGCCAGGCCTGGCCCCTTCCCAGTGTAAACCAGTCCTAGGCCTCTGCCTCTGGCCCTTTGGGGTTTTTCCCAAGTGACATTCCTTCTTGTCATGAAGATCTAGATGAAGCCAGAAGCTTAGGGAAGAGGCAATGACCTTAGCAAGGAGAGACAATAGGGAAAAAAGAGAGAACAACTTGGAAGGACCTGCTCAGGTGGTGAGAGCAAGGATTAAATTCAGGGACCTTCTTGGGAGGTGCTTGCACTCAGCACCTGCTCTTCTTGGAGTCCTTCTGCCCAGCACAGAAAATGAGTATCTGTTATTCTGCCTTTAAAGCCACTCGCAGCCCGAGCACTGACAGTCATGGAGATCCTCCACCAGTAATTACTTAAAAGTGCACTAAATTACCTACCCTGCACCCTGGAAAAATAAACTCCCACACGCTTTTGTGCTAAAGACTATTATTTAAGAGCAAAGCTTAGAACACTCATCATGGAACAGAGAGTCCTTGCTAATTGCCACAATTTTTGAAACTGTACTGTAACTAAATCTGCTAAATGGAATAGCCAAATAAGAAGCCTCGCTTTGAGGAGACGGCTGGTGTTATGCTCCGGGCAGAACCCCCTCAGCCACCTATTCGCCTCAGAGGATCCATCTTGCTGACTTATTAGCAAAAGGCACACTTTCTTTGGCAAATAAAGTTATTTGGCCAGTAGAAACCCTAAGGCAAAAGGTGCATGGGCACAAGTTTACAAAGAAATTTGCCTCCCTTGGAGTATTACGTTTTTCCAAGCATTAAGACTCTCTCTAATCTGGAGGATGGTCAATTCCTGTCCCCAAACCCAGAGGCCCCCCAGCGAGCACAGGGATTCTGCAGAGTGCAGTTCTCAGAACAAAATGACATAAGCCCCAGAGCCTGCCTGCATCCTCTTGGAGTACCAACCATGTCTTCAGAAAGCAGCTTCTTTCCTTGCTAACTCTCAAAATTTCTAGAAAGGGTGTTAGCAAGAGAACAATACTCCAAAGTATTTTTCTGTGCATTGTGAACTGGCTGCTCCTTAATCCCACTTTGCAGCGGGTGGCTGCTGGCCCGTGGTATCCATGACTGTGGTCCACGCTCAAGGCTTTCTGGCCTAGCCAACATTCTGGTGTAGCTGCTGCACCAATTTTTGCCCCTATTCCTGCCCTGAGAGCTGGGGGTTCATAAGTTCATTCACAGTTACTGGAATAGTTACAGCTGCCATACACAAACTACTTGCCAGGCATGGTGAGGACACAAAGATGAATATGATGTGAAGCCAAACTTCAAAGGGCTTAGAATCTCATGGAAAGACTGACAATCAACAGTGGATTAAAATTCAAAGCAGAGGAAGTAAAGGCTTAAGAGATAGATGAGTGAGCTAATAGGGCTGGCATAGAGGATGGAATGATTCCTTTTAAACAGGACCCTTAAAGGAAGGCTTCAGCCAGGGTGTATGCATTGGAGCTTAGCACAGAGCATGAGGGGTACGTTATGAGGCAGATAATGGAAGGAGGGTGTTCATTCAAAGTGAAGAGCAGAGACACAAGTCTTGAAATTGCACTGGGTCCTTATAGACAAGTTTGGGTAGAGAATGAAATGGGTGCATGACAGTGACTAGGGCTGAGGGCCTACCCAGCCAAGTCAGAACCAGCATGATTCCCCGGACTGTGGACTTCTGCTGTGCGAGCCACTGTTATGGACGGAGAACATGACATTTATCACCTGGAACAAAAGAGCTGAGAAGCCTCTGCAGTGGCAGCCAGAGTGGGGTTTTGAGAGAACAATGGCTTCTATACCACCTGTGCTCTAGAAAAACAACTCTGGATTTAAGAGATGGAAGCCAGGGACCGACTAGCAGCAACTGAGTCAATGTCTAGTTGTAGGAGGTAGTGGAAGCTGAGGAAATACACTGGAGTGGTCTAGGGAAAAGGAGTGGTTGAGGCCCAGATGTGGGAAATAGAACTTCCAGGGACCACAGAGGAAGAAAATGAAACAAAATACTGAAGTTTGGGAACTGGGTGCTTGAAGGAAAAGTGGTTCAAGGAACTTAGGCACAGAAGACAGAGGAGAAAGAACAAATCTGGGAGGACAAGGAATGGACAAGGTAATGAGTTCATTTAAGGTCTGCTGAGTTTGAGGTACAAATGAGGTGACAAGGATATGTCTTAAAACACAGGGATTTCAGTTCTCTTCAACTTAATCAAAAATCAGAAGGCTGAATCCCACAGCAAGACATTTGAAATAGACTGGAGGTTATTTTTCATAAATTGCCAACATTTCTCAAATAAATTCAGTCCATGTCCTAGAATTACTCTGCACAGATTTTTGCCATTTTAGTTAGGGGGCCCCTCTGGGAGAGAGATGAAACAGAAAATTTGGTAAGGAGTAGTCGAGGACTTTAGTAGATCTATTCTTTAAAGACAAATTGAGCATTGCACAGAAATAAACACCTCCAGTCAGGGAAATGGAAAACAACTGTTTTCTCCATCAGTTGTCATTATCGACAAGCTAAGTTCCATCATAATTAGGTATGTAGCTACAGAATATTACAGAAGGGATAGAATGTTGGTGTATATGAACCCAATGTCACAAAGCTTATAAATGATAGAGTTGAAACCTGCCAAAAGTCAAACTTAATTAATGCTTAATGTGTATCAGACATGTGAAAATTATAAGCACTTTACCCAACCTATTTGCTATTATTCTCCTTTTGCAGACAAGAAAAACTAAGCACAGAGAAGTTACATAATTTGTTCAGGTCACACAGCTAGGAAATGATGGAAACTAGAAGCAAACTCAAGCCTACCTGCCTGCAGAGTTCCTTCATTCACCACTATTATTACCTACTGCTCAGAACCCAGGTTTCTTGACTGGTTCTGAGTAAGGAGGTATTTTCTTGGAAGGAGATTTTCAATACCACAATGCCATTATTATTCACAAAGCCATTTAATCCTCTTTCCAGGGGCAGTAGCCATCTGCCTTTGCTTTCCTAAACATACCTGACAGCCAAGACAGAGTCAAAGAAAGACCAGAAGAAGAACTAGTCTATTCATTGACGCTGATAAGATCCTGGTCAGTTAAGTGTTCTCTGATGGGTGGGCCGACACCAGCCGTTCATCAAATAGATGAATGGGAGCTTTCCAGCTCCTGCTGTCTCCCCAAGGCTCTCAAGCTGTATTCTGGGTGCGGGATGAGTCCAAGACTGCTTTTCAGCCAGAGGAGGAGCAGCATTCCTCAGTGCTCTGGACACACAGACCATGGATTTGACTGTCACTTATGCATCTCCTTGGAGTCTGTTTTTCCAAGGCCACATCCATGAGTCTCATCCTCAACGATTCCTCAGTGTCTCCGAAGACATGCGCAGAGACTCACTTCACCTGATAAACATGTGGACTGAGCTCTGGGGTCTTCTGGAGGGAGCAGTTGCCTCCCTGGGAGGTGAAGGGGGAGGCAATTGGAGCAGTACTGCGAGAGTAAGAGAGGAGTTGGATGAAGTCAAAGATTACAGAGATGATGCTTGATGTGGGCCTTAGAGAACAAGTAAGATTTAAGTATCTGGAATTAAGGGAGATGATATTCCAGGAGGAGAAAGTTACATTAAGAGAGTCTGAGAGCATGAGAATTCCAGCAGCACGAGAAGAGAGTTCTCTGAGAACAAGAAGTAATCTGCTATGATGCAATGGGAAGGACAAGTAAAGGACAGAAGATGAACACGTGATGAGGGGCTTACCAGTGTGGGTGTCATAGTCATACCCCACAGTTTGGGATTTTGGCTGGAGGCCAAAGGAAGTTGTCAACAATTCAAAAAGAGGAGAGAGCTAGAAGGTAACGATGGTAGCAGGTAGAGGATGAAAAAGAAACCAGGCATCCCTTAAGACAATGTATTCAGGTTAAAAGAGTAGAAATAATAACTATTACTAGATGAATCTGAGTTGGGACTATGATTTAAACTTTTCAAGCAGCATAAATCTTTGAGCTGAGAAACCTTATTACTGATGGGGAGAGTATTCTGTTTCCCAAGTGTGTGGGGACTAAAGGGATTGCTGTAGGAGCACACATATCCTACCTCCCCTGCAGTCTGGAAGGATAGCTGTGGATTAGAGAAGAAGTGGAAACAGGAACAAGCTAGAAGCTCTTATGGAAGGACACACTGAGAAATTGAGTAAGCTATTGAATAGGAAGAAGGAAATCGGATTGGATAAAGAACAAAATTAAGAAATGAAATGAGGGCTTCCCCGGTGGCACAGAGGGTTGAACACAGCACTGCAAAGCTGTCTGCAGCCTCTGAAGCACAGGTTCAATTCCTGGCCACAAAGGGAGATTCCCACATGGCGTGGCAGACCTTTCCTGTCTTGCCCGCTGCGCCCCTCAGCAGTGCTTTCTGTCTGTCTGCCTGTTCTGCTCCCTGCTCTGTCTCTGAATTCTCTCACCCTTCCACACCTCTGGTCTGTACCCCAGCTATTGTATAAATAAAAAATAAATAAATAAATCTTAAAAAAAAAAAGAAAGAAATTAAATGAGCCATTGCAGTCCCTTCCAGTGGGATCAAGAGTCAGAAGAGTAGTGGCGCATCCTGGACTAGATGGTCTGGGTCACTCAAAGGGAAAGAATGAATTCTCCCATCGGGGAAAGGGAGGGCCACAGGGGGGAAAGAAAAGTTGTTGGTTTAAGAGTTCATTCCTGGTTTTGTAAATTAAGTGATGACCTGAGAAATTGCTGAGAACCCTGAAGCTCTGTTGCCCATGCAAACAGCCCGAGGGGTCTGAGCCTGTCCTGAGGGTCAATCTGTTAACATGATTTGTTTCCAACAGGGCCAACTCTGTGACATGGAACCCACACAAGATGATGGGTGTCCCTCTGCAGTGCTCCGCTCTCCTGGTTAGAGAAGAGGTACCTCTTTCCTGATTCATGACTCTGTCCTTGGAGGGCAGTGGGTAGGGTAAATGCGTGTAGTCCAAGAAGTAAAATGTAGAATGATTTATTAGTGAGCCACATCCAAAAAGAAGAAATTGTTAATGAAGATAATGGTAAGGTCCTGTTCTTGCATCCAAGTAGAAGATGTTATATTTTGGCTAGAAATGACATGGAGTTCCACACAGGCTATAATGTTGTACTTGTGAAAAAAATCACAGAATGTTAGAATATACTCTGCTGTGTCAACAATGGGTCAAGAGAAAATGACCTTTCAAAAAGCACTCACGGAATATAAGAAGTGAAGTTTTAGGATAAGGGAGGTGGCGATCTCCCACTCTCCTCTGGTCAAACCACATCTGGAGTGATTTGCTTACATAGATGCCAGATTATAAATGGACCCCATCAATCAGACCTCCACAGTGGGGAAGTTAGTAAATGTGTAAGAGGGATGGTTGAGAAAACTAAGGCTATTTAATCCAAAGACAAGGAAACTTAAAGGGTTGAGTGGATGACAGCCTTTGCAGTTTAAATGACTCTCAAGTAGAAGGTTCCCTTATTTCTCTTGAGGTTTCTGAAAACAAGGTTAGTAACACTGATTTGATAGCAAAAATCAGAATACACCATGATTTTAGAGCTTACTGGAGGTCAACAAAAGAAATGCTTTTGTGAAACTTAAGCCGCCTAGCAGGGAATGAATGTTGTATGGGGAAATTAATTCCTCATCATGGGAGGTGATTGAATGGAAATTCAACAACCACTTATTAGTAAGAGAATACAAAGGATTCCTTCGTTGGGAAAGAATATATTAATAGCTTCAGGATTCCTTCCAGATCCAAGAGTTTATGGTGCTTTGACTCAGCTAATGCTTAACTCTTCTTTATTGGGGTTCAAGAAATAATGCCATGCTATAAGTATTCTGTGATCAAAGAGTTTGTTTTGTTTTTTTAAAGATTGGGCTATATTATATTAAAGGGTTCAGAAAACAAGTTTCATTACTTCAGAGCATATCAGAACCCTTTGTATGCTGGCATGTATTGCAGCCATCTAAAAAGAAGGGGTTTATGCTACAATATCCTAACTTTATTTGACCATGGGAATTTCTTTTGCAGCAACTACTCTGCAGCACAGTAGCTATTAATGTATTTAAAGTAGTTTGGGAAATAATGGTCCAAAGCTTTACAATGATTCAATTCCAAGATGTTATTGCACCAAGGTATTTTATATGAAAAACATCATTTTTACTTAACCTTTTGGACAATGAGACTGGGGCTATCCAACTTTTTAAAAATCATGCGGTTTAAGTTTCTTTTCCTATCCCAGTAGAAGCTGGTCCAGTTTATGCACCATTCCACACTCTCTGGAGTGGTCTCCTGATTGGAGACACCTATCTGTGAGCTTGCCTGACTGTGGGAAGAAAGGAGCCAAGTTTCTGTGACCATGAAATAAAATAGAAGCAACTGTGACAATTTTCAGTGTTATTGATCTTCAAGAAGCTCAGTAGTCTAAACCTTTCAGGGTTGCCACCCTCTTAACGTGATTTGTTCCTCGTGGGGAAATTTAAATTCAAATTTGAAATTCAATGTCTTTCTACTGATCTGGTATAGTTGCATTATATTTAATTCCCCTTAATCTCAAAAAAACAATCTAAAGAAGTCCATTGAATGTAAAATTGAATATAATTGAAGCCCATTGAATATATTAAATTACAAGGTGGAACCCAGTTCTGTTCTTTACCGTCTGAATACTTGGTCTTTCAGAACCTACTTAAATTTTCAGTTGTGTTGCTTTTTGTTTTAGTTTGGATAATTTTTTTAAAGTGTTCTCACTTCTAACTTCAACTTAGTGATCACATTTTAGTCTCTTCTTGTCATGAGTCACAGAAGGAAAAACCAAATGCCAACACTTCTGTAAAATCACAATTATACTGTAGATAACTAAAGAGTCAAAGGCTTCCTGTGGTTCGTGACAAATTGAAACGTGGTGGGGTTTCCAATGAGGAGATGGTAATGCTGTTTTAGCTGGAGAGCATGATTCATTCACTGCTCTTTGGAATAGTTCAATCACTTTCCCACCCATTTTCCACAGTAAGCTTATGGTGGAATTAGTGGCCATAGAAATGCAACTTTCCACTGAAACTTCCATAAGCAACTGAGAATGAAAATGCATTACTGAAGCTCTAACCACTCTTGAGCCAAGACTTTTGAAGCATTGGTTAAGATATCTCAAGATATCAATGTCTTTCCTTTTTTATATTTCAGCATAAAAAATGATAGCAAAAAGCTGTCTTTTAAAAGCTATGGTTCTCAAAGAGAACTCAAACTCTAAGAAGCTAAGTGATAAAGTACTTGAACTAAATATGAAAGAAACACTAAAAGAATCATACTAATAATATATTATAGAAGCAAATAGCTTACAATACATGAGAGTAGAAGCCTCAGTATGTCCTTATTGTTAACCATTGTTAACATTTAACCCTGAGTCTTTTATCTCAGAGAGTTTACCAATCACAACAGTCCATCCTCTCCAGATATTGACATCCTTTTTTTTTTTAATTTGAATCTTGCTGGGTTTTTTTTCCTTCCATGTTATGCAATGCCTCTCTTTTGTTTTTATAAAATTTAATTTTATTAAATTTCCATCACCATGTGAGTCTCAGGAATACCTGATAAAGTCTATAGAATTTCCTATTTTCCTCTTCTCTGCTAGGGATTGATGCAGAGCTGCAACCAGATGCATGCCTCCTACCTCTTCCAGCAAGATAAACACTACGACCTGTCCTATGACACTGGAGACAAGGCCTTACAGTGCGGGCGCCATGTTGATGTTTTTAAATTATGGCTTATGTGGAGGGCAAAGGTGAGCACTTTCAGTTTGACTGCATGTCAATTCAAAACAGAAACGATATCTGGTGGACTTATTAGGTCATGTTAAAAATTGATTTCCACACTGAAAATTATGCCATTAAATCTCTAATCCTATAGCTATATCTGTATTTTACATTGGCAAGAATATAATAAAAAGCATTGTGTTCTTTTTTCTTTAACTTCTAATGTTCCCTCATTTAGAAAACAAATCTGTGTTCCTTTACAGAGTAGAGCATCTAGATTCCTTAGAGGTATTTTATTGCTGTTTCTGTCTCCCAATTTTTAGTGTTTACAGTGATTGATCAATTGGGTAGATTAATGCAATCTTTTTTTTTTAAAGATTTATTTATGCATTTAAGAACTGGGGTGCAGGCCGGAGGTGCAGGGGGCTGAGAGGATTCACCAGAGACAGTGGGGAACAGAACAGGCAGATTGACTGAAATACACTGCTGAGGGGAGTAGCAGGCGAGACACAAGAGGTCTGCTGCGCCATGTGGGTTATCTCCCGGGCTGGGGATTGAACTTGTGCTGTAGTGGCTGCTGTTAGCTTCATAGGTTGTGTCTCAACCCCTTGCACCACCAGGGAGGCCCAGGTTAATACAATCTTAAATCATACATTTGGAGAACAAAAAAGAAAAGAACAAGACAACTTACTTTTGACATTTTGAAAATAACCTCTAATTATACAGCTTTTTTAGAAGCTTGGAAAGTAACTAGAGATATCCTTTTGTATGGTCTCTCTACTTACCTCAGAAATGAGCTGTGGATGACCACTTCTCTCTCAGCTATGGAAATGACACCAGTGCTATGCAGAGCTAGCTGCACCTTGTTGTGCCTTCTTCACATAGCACATGTATATGTTTAAATGTAAGCAGGCTAGAAAGGTCAAAATTTGACCAAATGCCTAACTTAAATGTCAGAGATCAGTGACTTTCCACCTGATCCCTCTATCTTCCCCAGGAGGCAATGATCTGAGACCCAAAAAAAACCCAACTGTGAAAAGAGTACATGAGGGAAAATGAGAAGGGTAGGTTACAAGGAAGCTGGCATGACCAGGGCTTTTATGGTTGAGAAGGGGACCCCACCTTGCTCTGCCTTCTCGAAGTGGCCCACACACAGAAGTGGTCAGTCCAACTGCTCAGGGAGAATGAGGCTGCCATGGGTTCTTCCTCAGTTGTGTGTGAAGACAGCAAAACCATGTCCACAGCAACCAGTTCTATATGCTGTTGTTTTTTCAAGTCCTTCCAAATAAACTGAATTACCTTAAGCAGTTTAGAGAAAGTGATGGGTGACTTAAAAGAAAAAGAAGGGACTTGGGAGTGCAAAAATGATTTTATGAAATTTTTAAATCCAGTCTAGAAAAAGGCCATTTCAAAATAAAGATGGCCTTCTTAATGCAGAAATGACTTTTAGGTGGTTTCCAGGGATGGCTGAACTACGTATTTGTAAAAGGCAGGAATGGACATGGTGCAAGGAGGAGTCAGAGTCCTTAGTGGGTTTTTGCAGGTCTTTTATTGGTGTTCACCAGGCATATGCCAGGCAGGGGTGCTGGGAGGCTGGCAGTCCTCCCAGCCCCCAGCAAATCCTCACTCTCTCTGGGCTCTCTGGAGTTCTGTGCTTCTTCTTCTTCTTCTTCTTCTCTGCTTCTCTCTCGGCTTCTCTTTCGGCTTCTGCTGCTGCTGGCGTCCCCATGACGCTGCCCTTAGAAACACAGTCTTAGCCCAGGTGAACCCCATCTACCTATGCCCACACCCTACTCCAGGTGCCCACCATCAGGCATGCATTCAGGACCACAAGGATCCATCATCTATCCTGATGGCGGGAGGGCAGAAAAGCCTGACATTTTTCCTTACCCTACAGTATTCTTCAGGCAAACCTCTATGATGGTATTTGTTTTAGATGGATTTTCTTTAAGTATTGGGGAGCTGCCTGGAGTGAGTTCCAGGTAATCTGTTACCCCAGAAAGGTGGTATGATAGATGGGTGGGCTCTACCCCTTGAGCTGAAGCAAGGAACCCCCTCCTCTTTTGACAGTTGAGAGCCTGATAAGGAGATTCATTCTGTTGCCCATAACACTTGCATTTAACAACAATCAAAAAAAAGTCAAGGATACAAATGATTGTTACATTTTCAAGCTGTTTTTAAATGAGTAGGTTTTTCATTTCACGGATAGGAATTACAAATGACAAATCTAAGTATCAGGTACTACGTTCAAGAAAGTTTAATCTCTGAACATTTGTTCAGTAGCATTCTTTTTATCCCTTTTCCCTGTGGTTTTTTATTAAGATGATGATCATTAGCTATATTTACACAAAAATGTTTCTCTCATGGTTCATCAGTTCCTGCTGCTCCTTTTCTATCTGAAGCCTCTTGCCAGCATGGTGCAGCTGGGTGCTTCTCAGAGAAATAACTTAGAGGACATCAGGTGTAAGCTAAACAGCAAGACCTAATGAAGCCTGAAGTACAGGCACCAGGAGAAGGGATAAAAAGAGAAAAATATGTCCACATTCTTTTAATTCTTTACACAAACCCTTAGGTAGATCTAGGCATCTAAACAAAAAACTTCCATTTGGTGTTCAATTTACAGCTACATTTAAGGAAAGTAAAATGATAATTATTAAAATAATAAGCTCAGTCCTATTATCCAGATCAGAAATGAGGATAATTACTGTGTTACATTAAAAACACTCTAGTCAGGAAAGGAGAAATCATCCTCTCTTGCGAAGAGCCACAAAAGAGTTGGCCCTAGGGCCTCCCTGGTGGCACAAGGGGTTAAACACCGCAGTATGAAGCAATCTGCAACCTTTGCAGCACGAGTTCTATCCCCGTCCAGCCAGGGAGCAACCCACATGGCGAGGCAGACCTCTCCAGTCTTGCCCGCTGCTCTCCTCAGCAGTGTATTTCAGTCAGTCTGCCTGTTCTGTTCCCTGCTCTGTCTCTGGTGAATCCTCTCACCCTCCCGTGCATCTGGCCTGTACCACGGTTCTTGTATAAATAAATAAATAAACCTTTAAAAAAAAAAAAAAAGAGTTGTCCCTGATAGTCAGTCCTGCATTGCCACAGGAATAAGGAAAGAATCTGAGAAAACAATAAGGAGAAAGAAAGGAGTGGAGGAGGAAAGGGAGCTTTTTGAATCCAAGGATGCAGAATACACAAATGCAAAGAACCAACTATATTTTCTTTTTAAATTTTATTTCTTTATTGAAGTAACTAACATTGGTTTAGAACATTGGTAATACTGGTTACAGGTATCCATCATTGTAAATCAACGTCTCTGTAGACTTCATTTTGCTCATCACTAAAAGTCTAACCTTGACAGATTTCCTCAGTGGTTAAGATCAGTGGTGAAGAAAAAATAGAGCTTAAAGTTAGTCCCCACTTTGGGGGGACTAATGTGTAACGACCAAGTTTTCACAGTAAATCTCTAGTGTTCGTATATGTTGGCTATACAAATTGGCAGATATCTTTGTTGTTTTCTCTGATTGGTCTCCCTAATTGTATATTAAAAGGGGGACTGGTAAATGACTGAGAAAAATAAAGAAAAACTGTTAAAGGGAAGTTGAGGTCTGCCAGCCTTTGCTGAATAACTAAATATTCACTTTCTCTGTAAAATATTAATTTATTTTAATAGGTAGATTTTGAGTATCTGTTATTGTGACTGGTACTGAGTGTGATAAGGAGGCTATCATTTTCTAGTGAGGATAATAAGATAAATGTAACATCTCCGAAGATAACCATCTCATAAGACAGAATATAACTGGTCATAAAAGGAACACCTTAAGAATTTAAAAGATGGGGTTCTCATCCCTTGTTTAGGAGTCAAGAATTATTTATCAAGAAATGACCTGTGAGGGCCTCCCCGGTGGCGCAGCGGTTGAGTGCTGGGTTGCGAAGCTGCCCGCGGCCTCTGCGGCGCCGGTTCGATCCCCGGCTGCTCCCCGGCCACCGGAGGAGGATCCCACATGGTGCGCAGACCTCTCCTGCCACCCGCTGCTCCCCTCAGCAGTGTACTTCAGCCCTTCTGCCTGCTCTGCTCCCCGCTCTGGCTCTGGTGAATTCTCTCACCCTCCCGCACTTCTGACTGTACCCAGTGCATGTATAAACAAAACAAACAAATATAATAAATAAATAAATAAAAACATGCCTCTATAAAAAAAAAAAAAAAAAAAAGAAATGACCTGTGAGATGGATGTTTGTAGGGAAAATGGAGTAAAATCAGGCTTTTTTCCACCCTCCTACCGCTGGCCCCTACGGCCAGTACCTTGCCTTCCTCCTGGGTTGCCTCTGGGACCGCCAGGGCCAGAGGCATGGCCTGGGGCTCCTGGCTCTGGCATGAGCAGCCTGGTCAATCTGAGATGATTAAGAGAGTAGGCATTGGGGAGAGAGAATGCTAGAGAGAAGAGAGAGTGGAGATCTTGGGGGCTGGGAGGCAACAAAGCCTGCTGTGTACCCTGTGGATGGTTACACAACAGTGTTAAACAACATAGGTAGACAGAGAAGGATTTCAAACTGCAGAGCTGGGGGAAGGATATTCTAAGAAGATCTATCAGGGGGACAGAGCATATTTTGAGTCTAGCTGGGAGAATCTAAATTGGCTACAGGGTCAACTGTGGTCCAGATGAGCATGGTCCAGACAGCACTAAAATGGAGCTGGCAGCAAGGGATTCAGTCTTGATTTCAGAAGCAGCATCTCTGGGGCCTGAGAGTGTATAAAGGAGGGTTTTAGGAAGCAGAGAAAAATTACAGGCACCATCATTCCCATGTGATCAGAGACTAGTAAGGGCCGCATGGTAGACAGGGTCAGAGGAATGCAGGCCTTATCCTGGATCAGGTAGGCACAAGTTTAAATCTAACTAAAGTGGTCCAAAGGATCCAAATGACAAATAATTAACTTGCCTCCCTCCTACTCCCAAGTGGATTCAAACTACCCAGTCAGACTAAACCAATGCTAATTTCCTTGGCAACCACAGACTCATGAAGCACAGGATGTGGAGCACTCACCCCAGCCAGTTGGTCTCCTTGAACCAATCAGCTAGGGTGGCAACCTCCAAAGAACTTCGTTAAACAAGTTTCAGCTGTTCCAGGTTCTGGCCATGCTGAATCCCCCATTTAGTTGAGCTGATAAGACTGTGGGAATAGGGAGTGGGTCCAGATTATCTCCACTACCATTGCTCCCTCCGGTTCCCACACTGGACTAATGGCTGCTAGTCCAGTTCTAAGTGCTCCTGAGAGGAACATGAGTGTTTTCCTAAGCTTTCCATTGGCATTCCACAAACACAGAAGGAAATAGGTAGGAAGTCATTCAGGAAAAGTAATTTTCTAAAGTACCCTAACATCAGTTAAACAGCCCCAGAAAAGGCTGTTGTGTTATATTTCATGAGTCTAGATTGTGGGCTTCCCAAGCTGGAAACTAAAACACCTCTGTGCTGTTTGCCCATTATGGTCATTGAGTCACATATCCCCAAAGGAGAAATCTAATGAGCTTTTGCAGAGTGCTGACTAACAAAGCGTGCGCCTGCCCTAAGATTCATTCATTCATTTGTTTAAAAAAATCCATTAAGCACAGATCCTATTTGTTTTGTTATGGGGGGGGGGGCGCAGTAATTGGTGACTGAAACTGGGGTTTGAAATGGCAAAGTTACATGATGGGCCCGGGGTAAGCAGGCATGGGAGGGAAGGTCCCTGATGATGCTTCTTATTCACAGGAAGAGAACACCAAGCCCTCCTGTCACTAATGACTTTCACAATGACTCCTACAAACCACAGAGGCGAATTTTCCCCGAGTAATCCAAATAATTACCTGGGGAATGAATGGAGGCCAGAGGAGCAAAGGAGTCCCCTGTGGAGAGTAGTAATGACAGATGTGAAAGGGAATGCAGCTCCCAACAGGGGAGATTTAAAGGAGAAATAAATGGCCAGGAAGGTCCCCTAAGAGGAAAGTGCTGGAACTGAGCTGAGACCAAGGAACAGAAGGACATTCAGGCGCTGGAGAGATTCACCCCCCCCACCCCCTCCCCAACCCAAGCGCTCACCTACCTTTCTCAGCCTCCTAATAAGCTTTCTTCTTCTCTTAGGGGACCATTGGGTTTGAAGCACATATTGACAAGTGTCTGGAGCTGGCGGAATATTTGTACAATATCATAAAAAACCGAGATGGTTATGAAATGGTATTTGATGGAAAGGTATGTAATCTGCTTGCTACTGTTCCAAAAAAGGTTCACCAATTCCAGTTCTTATATTGATATTTTTGAGGTCAATAATGGACTGTCCGGGTAACTGAGACCATTGTGAAGGAATAGCAGGGGTGATGGGCTAGCTATTCTGAGCTGGAGTGAAAAATCAAACTCACAAAAAAAATAACTTGGAATAATATTGAGAAAGGCGGGCATTCCCAAGGTGATTGTGAATTTAAAAGCGGGAATTGTGTTTGGAAGCCACAGAAGAGATTCCAATGTCTTGGAATTTTCAAAATTGTCTGTCCGGGCTAAGTGTGCATCTTGTTTGCTCTTGTAGCCTCAGCACACAAATGTCTGCTTCTGGTATGTGCCTCCCAGCTTGCGTGTCCTGGAAGACAATGAAAAGAGAATGAGTCGCCTGTCCAAGGTAAGTGAACAAATTGGTTGTTCCTCTGGTGTGTGCACTGGTGTGTTACTGGACCTTTCACACGTATGTCGTCCTTACGACATAGGACATATGTCTTAAGAAATCCAAGCTCAACTTTGGTCCATGGGCCCACCCTGTCTGTGGGCTCCTTTTGTTTACTTATGTCAATAAGTTTTCAAAAATTATTCATTTTCAGTAGTTTCTTATTACTCAGGGATAAGTAAAATCACACCCACATAATTTTAGAAGGAAAAGAACTGAGGTGAAATAAATCATCTGTAATGTCCAACATATGGCCATTAACATTTAAATCAATTAAAATTAAGTTCAATAAAAAAGTCACTTCTTCAGTCAAACTAGCCATATTTCAAGTGCTGCACTGTGACTGTGGCTGTTGTGTAGGAGAAGGCAGATACAGAACATCTCCCATTACAAAAATATTTGTTGCATGAAATGTTGTTTGTATAATCCAGAATAAGGAAGGGAAACAACACTTAGGATAGCTGCTGGTGGAGTAGAGGCCTCTTCCCAATGTTTGCAGTGGCTTAGGGACAGATATCCAGGATATGAGTAGTTATATAATATGCAGTCACAGCTTTCTGGGGGAGGGAGGCAAAGATGAAAATCTGGTGGATGCATTTCCTGCTGGCCAGAAAGGAATGAGTGTGCAGGTAGCCCACTGTCACTGGGGGCAGAGTGGACACAGAGTCTGGGGCCCTGTGGGGACATGACCAATTACAAACACCTTAGACACAGGCATGTGCAGCAAAAGGTTCCTTGCAGCCCTTTATCAGAACCCACAGTGGGGATATTGATTACCTCTCATATTCTGTGTTCTTCGTCATCATGATCTTCTTCTATTTTAATGTTCATTATATTTGATCATTATCTGCTTCTCTTCTATCAGTTTATTTAGTCCTGTACTAATTGATGGACTTTTAAAGTCAGCAATGTATTTAAAATTCAATTGGTAAGGAAGAAGATTGTTTTCTAAGGTGACTCTTTTAAAGTCTCTGTTATTCAAAGTCAGAATTTAACATTTTAGAATATCTTTTTTATGGTTATTCTGCTTTATCATTTCTCAGAATTACTCAGTCGTCCAAGAATTATTTTAAAAAGTTGGTAATAACATGTGCAAAATACATTTCTGTGATAGCTTGTAAGATTCTTTCCTGATGCTCTAATCGGAGCTCTCTCTGGAGGAAACAAATGTGGATTCAATTATGGAAGAGTTCCCTGGTTATTGTTTTGTAAAGGATTGAAAAAACTAATGAGGGCCTTCCCGGTGGCGCGGCAGGTTGAGCGCCGCGCTGTGAAGCTGTCCGCAGCCTCTGCAGTGCAGGTTCGATCCCAGCTGGCTGGCAAGAATCTCACATGGCGTGGCAGACCTCTCCTGTCGCACTCGCTGCTCCCCTCAGCAGTGTATTTCTGTCGTCTGCCTTTTCTGTTCCCTGCTCTCCCTCTGGTGAATCCTCTCACCCTCCCATGCCTCTGGCCTATACCCCAGCTCTTGAATAAAAATAAATCTTTAAAAAAAAAAAAAAAAAGGAAAGAAAAAGCAAATGACACAAGGTAGAAAATGATACTCTGAGACTCTAAAGTCTTAAGACAGTCTCAAAGAGCTCGTGTTGTTAGGGCTTCATAAATTCTTCAACATGCAGCCCCTATCTTTCCTAATTGACTTTCTTTATTAAGCAAAACCAAGAATGTGACCAAAAATTCTAGAAATAAGTGAAAACTATTCATCAGAATAGTCAGAATCTTATTTTCTTTCTTAACTTGCAATTAGTGATTATGTAATGAAGTAGATGTTCCATGTTCCTGCTAATTTTAGTTCATCATCATTTTCTGGAAGCAACCAAAAGATGTATGTATTTAGACAGCTGTGATTTCTGCCAACCCAGCTAGCTTCAGGAATTGGGGGAGACTCAATCTCACTTTATGCCAAAATCTATTTGGTTTTATGCCTGTTACCATTAATCTTTTAACCTGTGAATTGCATTTATCTGAAAAACTGGAGGTGATTATTATCCTTAATAATTGTGTCATTTCTGTATTTTTGCTTGGATTGCCCAAGATAACTAAAACAGACTTTAATTTGCTGAGTAACACTGTTGTTTTATCGCTTCTAAAGAAGTAGCATCATTTATTGCACAAAGAAAACTAAAGAATAGTTACGTGATTTTTTCCCTTAAATTCCTAAAGACACATGTATTTGGAATTTTTTTTTCTACTCTGGGATTTCTCTTCTCAGGAACACATGGACTTGCCATGCCTCATAGCACAAAGTAATAAAATTCATGTCTCTAGGCTAGAATATTCTAGTAGATTCATTTTCAGAACTTTCTCTCAGACTCGAAATACTTGAATTTCTGTTTTATGTTTATTTCCTGAGATGTGCCAAAGGCTCTGCATATATCTACAATCCATGCATCCTAATCTACCACAGAAATACTCTTCTTTATCTCCTGTGGCAAAGGAAGGTGATATAAGATGCTAGAATCAGAAAATCTTAATTCTGGAATCATTATCTACATTCATTCTGAACAAAGAAATTAGGTATAGGATAAGAAGTAAAGAAGAAATGAAATTGAAGGTTAAGTCTGGCTTTGACTTTGGTTACTAACAATAATTGGGCGTGATGGGAACCATGTTGGCTTTCATATTGAGTACTTTGAAGATGAAATATACATTGTAAACCAAGGATGAATTGTTAATATCTTAAAGTTACATATTCATAACAGCATTCTATTTGACTCTAATCATCCTTCATTTAAGAGGATCCAACTATGAAGTAAGGTAGGTCCCCATTTTGAGCTGAGTTGCTGACTATGAATGTCTAAAATAAGACAAAGGATTTCTTGACATCTACCATTCCTGGTTACATATTTGCAGAATTGAACTTTAAAGACCAAATGTTATATTTGCAAACTCTAATGGTAAAATATGTAGTCAAATCAATATATGCCTCTTCCTAGACAGGCTACTTTTTAGAATCAGTAAGAACTCTACCCAGTGCTATGCTGGCAAACAAAAGAAATAAAAAAGTTTTCAGTTAAAGTATAGAGCTAAAAGGTGCTTTCTTGTAATTAAGAGCACAATAGAAACTAGAATATAGTCAGAATCTGTGGGACAGATCCACATATGTATGACTTGAAAGAGAAAATATGCTAATGGACTCAAAATGTCAGGAAAGATTTCATCACACTATAGAACTGTGGTAAAACTTGGAACATGTAGAGGATGTGCGCTGGAAAAGAAAAGGGAATCTAAGGAAAGAGAACAAGTGTGACATGATAAGACTGAGGACAAGTGTGAAGGGATAAAAATTATATGGTACCTTCAAAGTGTATTGAATAAATAGATCTTGCTAGAGTTGAGTATTCAATTTGTTGATCACTGGAAAAGGAGTCCAAGAGCAAGGCCACCAGAGACCTTTTGCTGAGTTAGAGAGTTTGAGCTTAATTTCGTACACAAAGGACAACGACTGACTGTCACCAGTCTGTCATAAATGTGGTAAAAGCTTGTGTGCGATTTGCTTCTGTAATGCTCAACCTCACTGCATTCAGATTTTTGTCTCAGTTGATTCTTCATCATTACTAAAGACTGTGTTACAAAATATCTTATAAACTGAGCTAATGCAAAAGGAGGACAAAAAAGAAACTAGAAAACTTTAGAGTCTCAAGAAAGCTGTTTTAGGGTCTCAAGTTTGTTTGTTTTCATACATCACTTGATACTGAAGTTAACCTCTTGGAAGCCATTCTCTAACCTGTATTTTCGGAACTATTTCTAATGTTTTCACCTTTATGATGATGGTGGTGGTGGTGGTGGGAAACCCTGCCCCCAAATATTGTATTGCTAAGTGATTTAGCCTTGGAACCAATACCAAATTTTCCCCATTCTCCTAAAACACTAAGTAGAAAGTCAAGGATGATATGGTAAGCACCTTATAGCCAACTATTTTATTCCCCTTATCACTTTCAATATCTTGGATATATTGAACTGCTCTAGTCCTTTGATCCCTAGGAAACAAACGTGGTTCTGATTGTTTAGTTAAAAGCTGAAAATGCTACTTGATACTGGCTTCTTTGGTGAAGGAGCAAATCCCCCCCATGAAAAACAGTCATGGTGTTGATCTGGTCTCTCCCAAGGTGGCTCCAGTGATTAAAGCCAGAATGATGGAGTACGGGACCACAATGGTCAGCTACCAGCCCCTTGGAGACAAGGTCAATTTCTTCCGCATGGTCATCTCAAATCCCGCAGCAACTCACCAAGACATTGACTTCCTGATTGAAGAAATAGAACGCCTAGGACAAGATTTATAATAACCTAAGCTGTTTCAATTCTCTAGGTAGACAATTAAGTTGTCACAAACTGTGTGAATGTATTTGTAGTTTGTTCCAAAGTAAATCTATTTCTATATTGTGGTGTCAATGTAGAGTATAGTTTCAAAATCAAGAAAACATTGCTCCTTTTAAAAATCCTTTTTCAGTTTAGAATACCTCTCTAATAATTAGTGACAAAAGGCTGTGTTCTAATAAATAAGGAAGAGTTTAAAATTGTTATAAATACTGCCCTTAATTTTAATATAGTGTGCAAATCAAACTTTATTTTCACTTCAGAGTAGTAGGATTGAATAGTGCCAAATTGCCCCTGAATCATAAAAGGTTCTTTGGGGTGCAGATAAAAGGGTGAAGTAAATATAAAATGTATGTTGACAATAAAAATTATTGCCTTTTTCATAGTGTTAGAAAAAAAATTTCTAATTTACCTAGAGCAACATTTCAAATGTATTTAAATACATATAATTTTACAAAAGGAAAATATATATATTAAAAAGAAATCCTATTTTGTAACATAGATTTTTATTTTATATGGGTTATACAAACTGCAGGGGCAGATATAAAAGCTAAGTCAGATTTATTTTTCTCTTCTTTTTTTTTTTTCCATGGAGGCACAATGAAACACTTGGCAAGGTTATTTTGAAACATAGGCCACAAAATCCTAAAAGGTGGATGCCTTCTCTCTCTTCATATTATAGCTTATCACATCTCTAAAGTTAGTAATATAAAACAAACACAAAAGAATACTGCAGATTCTTTAAAATGATTGATCAGACCAACAATAAGATTCTCTTCTTATTTAAGTTTTCCAGCCCAATTGTCTCTTATCAGACCAGCCCAGTACGCATGAGAGCTAAACTTCATCTTAGACGAAGTTAGAGTGTTGGTCTCTATTCTGCTTTCCAATTCCGCCTGTTTTGAACAGAAGGTTAATGCTGCTTCTTGAAGCATCTTCCCTAACAGTATTCTTTTATTAGGTCATTTGAATTAATTAGAGAAAATAAAAATAAAATCTAATCAGCCTGAGCAAAGAAAAATGAAGCACACTCCAGAATGTGGCGAGCCCAGGAAATTTAACTCAGCCTTGAGCAAAAGATTTCTGTGTGAAGAAGATGCTGTCTTGGATGGCACATTGCCGCCACCCAGGAAGGAGTCATTTCCCTTCTGGGTGGTTGCTTATTCCCATTCCCTCCCAACTCTTCCCCACAGGCACACAAAAAAATCTCTCTTGCTAGGTTCCCCTTCACTAGAATCCCAGATAAATAATTGCTTTTCCACGGGTGCTTATTTTCCTTTTATGAATTAAGATCTTCACCCAAGATTTTGAGACAGCATCTTAAGACCTTTTATTATTTTTCTCCCGTCAAGATCCAAGGTGACCATAGAATGCAGAGATAATAAGGCCCATCTTAGGGTTCAAAATAATGTTTTAAAGCAGGCCTCATTCCCTGAAAACCTGACAGAAAGTTAGGCACTAGCAAGAGTTCCCGTGGATACCTACGGGCTGCTATGGTTAGGTTCCAACTGCTAGTGGAAGACTGTGCACTCACAAATGTGGTGAAATCCTCAGAAGCCTGCCCCTTCATTCTCTCTCCCAGGTTGTGTACAAAAACACTGACACCTGCAGATGACTTTAATTCCTTCCTTCTAGGAAGCCAGTGGATTCAGATTCCCTGTAACTATCAGAGAAAATTGGTTCTCTGCTCCAGAATTTCATGAAGGAATAAGATTCCCATTCTAAGTTATGTCTAATAGTCCAACATCCTATTTCTTTTTAGAAATTGGCTATTGAGAATAAACACACAGCTGCCCACCTAGCTTGAGCCTAAAATTAAAAAAAAAAAAAAAAAACCCACTTCAGAGACAGAGACACTTATTATCAAACCCACTGACCAGCTTAGAGAAGACAATGGCACCCAGTGCTCTGATCTGGACAGACCCCTCGCAAGTGAGGGGTGCTACACCTCAGGGTCCAAAGCCTCTATCAGAAGACGCTGATAGAGTCAGAAGATGCTGACACAACTTGATGGTGTGACAGAATTTAAAAGGAGGCATTTCTTCTGCCTGTGTATGAAATTCCAGCAAAATAGATTTTAACAATAGGTTAATTTCCTCTGTCACTGCCCTTGCTATGTCTTTCCTCAAGTTTGCCGGGAGCAAACCTGATGCAGTAAAATCCCTACCAACCAGGGAGCCCAGGGAAGGAGGTAGAAAAAAAAGACTCATAGGTCCCAATAGTTTAATAAATAGTCTTCAAAACAGGTCTGTAATCCACTTGAGAGGAAGAGAGGGAGAGGTTGGGGGAGGAAGGGAGAGAGAGAGGAAGGGTGGAAGATGATTTTGAACATTTGCTCAAATTCCCAGTGCCAAAGGCCTTGACGTGGGGCTGTTCTTTAAAATCTTAGAAAAGTTTGGTTTTAGCTCTAATGAGAATCGACATGGCCATTTTCATTTATACAGCAATATTGTGTTTATTATTTTAAAATACTTGAAAAAAGTGTGGTATGTCTTTATCTGAGACATCTGAGGGGTTTGATTTCATGTACTGTCACAAGGAGTTGAGGAAAGAAAAGGAACGCCATCGTGTGTATGACTGTGTTGCCTTTATTTTATTGATAGTAAGGACTTGTCACCTCAGATTGGGGTTGTGCACTTTAGATCTGAACTGTACAGTGTTGCAAATCAACATGTGTTGCTGTAAAGGCTTGTACAATACATTATTGATGTCTTTTTCTGTGTGGTAGCTGTCCTGGTAGTATGAGAACCACATTCGTGTATGTCCCAGAGCGCTCGCTCTCCCCTCTCCCTGCTAAACTGTACGCCCTCCACATCAGCTCTAATAGAGAACATGCCTTCAGCTAAGCTCCCTGCTGAGAAATCTACTTCGAGAATTGTGTGATTTCACAAAACATGAGGTGAACACTACTTCGTCTCTGAGAATAAGAGAAACCAATAATGGAGAGTCTCAAACTGCCCAGTGGCATGTATTGAGCCTGCTGGGGTTTGGAGTAGGTGCTGCTCCCCAAAATATGGACAAAGCAAGCACGGGTGTAAATATAGTGGCGGGACAAGGAATCGAAGAACCTCACAGTGGGTATCATCTTGCACGTGCTCTTCTGTTTTCAAATGCTAAGTAAAACACTGTGTATTTATTAGTTACGTGTGCCAAAACACTCCCAATTGGTGTTTCTGAAAGACACTGACATTTCTCCAACACTACTCATTACTAAAGACAGAAAATATATATATATAAATGTGGCAACCTGTTCTTCTTACCAAATATAAACTTGTGTATGATCAGAGTATTTTATCTGTGTTGTCTCTCTAAACCCAAATAAATGTGTAAATGTGGACACAGGTCAGGCTTTGGATGCTTATTTCTGACTTTGCCTTCCTTATAATTGTTTTCTTATAATGATGATGGTAATTATATATGAATTGTATAAATCAGTTTTTGTCACCTTCTTAAAGATCCACCCTCTCTGAATTTCCCAAGGACTATCCCTTTGTCAGTAGTATTCATTGGGCCCCCACCTAACAATTTCAATCTGGAAACATCATCTTTTGTATTTTCTTTGCTCACCCAAGGTGGATTATCAGCACAATCTCTTTCTTATCCTTCATGTTATCACCCTGCCCTCATTCCAACACCACGTGGCCTTAACCAAGCCAGCTTCCTCAACTCAGAAATGAGTGGTGAGACTATGTGATCTCCAAAGGAGAAAAGTAGGCAGATACGTTTAAAGAATACAGGTTTACAAATCTGGAAGAGCTTAGATTCATGAATGAATTCAGCTGAACTTTACTGAGGGGCTACCCTAGACTAGATGTTTTCACACGTTAATTCAATGGCTTCATTTTATAGGTGGGAAAACTGAGACTTAGAGAAGTTTGACCCTTTTCTCAAGTCAGTGAATTCATAGCACAAACTGTGCTGTTAGATGAGTTGATACACATTGTGACAGCTCAGCACACGGACTAACCGTTGTCCTCTGGAGACTGGCCTGCTCTTTCCCCTACTTACATGTCCCACCTCCTCTGTAGCCACTACCCCCTCCCCACCCCACACTCAATGCCACACGGGCCTCTGAGTACTACTCCAAGGCCTTTGCCCTTGCGATGCCCTCTGCCCAGAACTCTGGTCCCAGAATTTTCCACTACCGCTCCTCCTTCCAATCAGGCTCAGCTCCAGTACCACTTCCTTGATGAAGACTTCCCAGAATAACCATGTAAATGTCTCCACTCTTTATCATATCATTGCTTTTGTTACCTTCACAACAATTTTCTTGTCATTTATTTTTCACAGACTTCTAAAATGCTATCATGGGAGATGACAATCCAAACATTGGCCTATCTACAGAAATGTGATTAAAATCAATTTTCCCAGACTGCATAATTTTCTACGTGAGAAAATTCATGCACCCATGTACAAACAATGTACCCTATGCCAATATCCTGATAATTCACAGTTAGTAAAATCTTTTAATAGTGTCCTGCTCTATATTAACTTTCGCTGATCACCCTTACCTCAACTAGAGCTTAAAAAGTGCTGTTGAAAGATTCGTCACCAGTTTCTTACACTGTATTTTTGTGTATTCAGTTGTTTTTCATTTTTGAACTAGACAAGAGAACTGCTTCTTACTCCATTTAGATGAACACACCTAACTCCAAAATTTAAACCCAAGGCAGTGTTCAGTTTAACTCCATTTCTATCATCTCAGAAAGCTGTTTCTGAGATACTTTTGGATTTTCCATTAACAGGGTAAGCCAGAACAGGCTTGCTCTTTTCATTTATTTGCCTACTAAAGAACACACATACACATACTAGGAATGCATACATGTCATATACACATTGTGTATATACATATATACACGTTGGTGCATCATTTAATGATGATTCATGAGAATATGTCCTGAGCAATGTACTGTTAGATTTTGTTCTTGTGTGCCCACCTTATGTTATTTTCCATATAGGACTTTTCCATCTTGCTGTCATAGCA